TGATTTCTTGATAGCAGCCATTCTTTGGGGTGAGGTGGAATCTCAGTGTTGTTTTCATCTGCATCTCTCAAATGACCAGTGATGTTAAACATTTTTTCATATGTTTATTTGCTGCTTTTACTTCTTTGTCTGAGAAATGTCTGGTCATTTCAGATGCCCATTTTTTAATTGGGTCTTTATACTGGGGGGGTCTGATTTTTTCAGTTCTTTATATATTCTAGATAGTAGTCCTTTGTCTGAGGGACAGCTGGTAAAATTTTTTTCCCACATTGTAGGTTGTCTCTAAGCTGGGTGGTTTCTCTTGCAGTGCAGAAGCTTTTTAAAAAGATGAGATCCCAGTTGTTGATTCTTTGTGCTAGTTCTCATTAATCACTATTATTATTACCGAGTGGTATTGCATTGTAGATTTACATTATTAATCCTTGATGGGCATTTGAGTTGTTTCTAAGTTGGGGCTGTTATAAATAAAGCTACTATGAACATTCATGTACTAGGCTTTGTGTAGACATTTTGTTTCTCTTAAGTGTCTAGAAGTGGAGTGACTGGGTCATACAGTGGGTGTTTAACTTTTTATGAGGTAGTCACGCGTCCCCAAGGCTTGCTTCATATCCTCACCAACATTTTGGATGTTATCTTTTGGTTAAGTCACTCTAATGGGTGTGAGGTGGTATCTAATTTTGATTTGTTTTAGATAAGGGTTTAGATAGATTTATAGATAAAAAGGCTAAATCCTGTACATCTCAGAATTGATCTGCTCACGTAATCGCTGAAAGACAGCCTGAGATTTCCTGTGAACACAACCACCTCCTTACTGTGATTAAGCAAGCATAGAGACATAATCAAAGGTGGCCAACCAGATTCTCCTTCCTGAAAGGTGGAGCCTGGACACAAACAGAGCACATCTGTTGAGAGTGAGAGCCCTGCTGTTACATCCTTCAAGGTGAAGCGAACCATCTACCCAAGGTTCTGCCATACTATATTGGGAGAATAGGGTTGTGATGGCTAATTTTTTTTTCCAGTACTGGGAATTGAACCCAGGGAACACTAAACTATATCCCCATCCCTTTTCATACTTTACTTTGAGACAGAGTCTTGGCAAATTGCTGAGGCTGGCCTGGAATCTGCAATTCTCTTGCCTCATCCTCCTAAATAGCTGGAATTACAAGCATGTGCGACCATGCCTGGTTTGTGATGGTTAGTTTTATGTGTCAAATTGCCTGACCCAAGGTGCCCAGATATTTAGTCAAACATTATCCTAGTTGTTTCTGTAAAAGCTCTTTTTTTTGGGGGGGGGTGAGATTAACACTTAAATCAGTAGACTTTGAGTAAAATAGATCACCTTCTATAATGTGGTTCAGTCTAATCTAATCAGTTGAAATCATTAATAGAATAAAGATTAGTCTCTCCCCAGGTCCAACCCTCTACCCACTCTTACCAATAAGGAATTCTTCAGCTGATTGACTTTGATTTTTTTTTTTTTGGTACCACGGATAGAACTCAGGACCTTGTGCTTACGAGGCCGGGAGCAGAACCACTGAGCTAAATCCCCAGCCCCCAGCTGATTGACTTTGGAGTTGAGCTTCAACTTATGTGTATCTATCCTGCAGGTTTTGGACTTGTACCTCCATAATTATACAAGCCAATTCCTTAAAATATGCCCCTCCCTTTCATATATAAACACACACACAGCTTACGGTGGACCCTTGACTTAAGAACTCGATTGGTTCCCCAGGGCTGGTTGTAACTAAGTCAATACAGCTGAGCTCTGGATGTTTACCTGGGCACGCAGTATAGATAACAAGAGGCAGATGAATCTTCATTAACCTAATTAATCCAAGTTGTTTGTATATCAGGCCAGTTGTAACTTGCTTCTCTGAAGAATACTAATAAAGACTGACCAGAGTTTAATTGTGCTATTGTGGATGCAGTTTTCCTCTAGAATCTGATCTTGGCAGTGCTGACCTAGAATTTGTGGAGCCTGAAGCTTATATAATGTGGTGGCTTTTTTTTTTAAGCAAATGCATAAACAAATTATGGATATAAAACTACAGCTTTTTGCATATCTGTGATGGTTAATCTTGATTGTCAGCTTGAGTGGCTTGAGAGATGCCTATCTGGCTCTTCCTTGTTCTACTTGGTGAGTTCTATTTGCTCCACCAGGCCCTTCCACCATGATTTTCTGCTGTGGAGCCAGCCCACCATGGATGGAAACCTCTGAAATCATGAGCCAAAATAAACCTTTTCTCCTCTAAGTTATATATATCAGATATTTTGTCACAGTACTGGAAAAGCTGACTGATATATCTAAAAACTGGAAGAATTTTTTCCAGACCCACTGAGAATTATATACTTTGAAATTCATTTCTTCTTCACTAACCAGATGCTCAGAGTTGGCTGGCCCATAAGACACATTCATATTCTGATACGATTTCTGTCCTACACCTTCTGGTCAGGATGCCAGGCAGTTAGTGGCCATTCTTAAACCAAGACAGCCACTAATAACTTCACTACTATTCTACAGAGCATCAGTTTGCCCTGGGTTACTATTCTTTGGGTAAAAATGATAAAATGACTCAACTTCTTATAAACAAGCAATATCTGGCCAGCCTAGCCGTAAGGCACAGACTAAGTGACTTATTCATGCTAATAAAAATTACCACCTGTGACCTTATCAGAAACACCAGACCAACAGATAATGCAGTCACCTCACCTAGATGCATTAAAAAAAAAAAAAACAGCTCAGGCTACAGCATGGTCCACTGGCCTGCCACTTCGCCACAGACCACTCCAGTGCACTTGTCAGGGGCTCTGCCAGGAGATTGCCAGGCAACAAACTCCCCACTTTTCCTGGACTCAGCACAGTGCAATTCTCCCTGCAGTCAATGCTGCCTGCTTTGAGGTTGCAGTTCTGGATCCCTCATTTTTACATCGCCATGACTGGTTTGCTAACCCAATACCTCACCACCTGTAGTAACTGCATTTCTGTTGGTGCTTTGCACTGCCTGTGTAAATGGCTCAGCCTCTTTGCTCCTTTCCAACTTCCTATAACCTAATATAATTGCTTGAAGTGTGATGTATGATTTGAGTGCCGTTATGGTTATGGTTTAGATCTAGAATGTCCTCCAAAAGCCCCAGGTGTTCAGAGGTGGGGCTTTGGGAAGGTGATTGATTGTGGGGGCGCTGTTCTCATGGGTGGATTAATCCATCAATGTGTTTGTAGCTGACTTCTTAGGAGGTGGGGCCTTGATGGAGGTAGGGCATAACATGAAAGGGGATCTCTCCCTCCATGGTTCCACCCCTCTCTCGTTTCCTGGCCATCATGATTTGAGCAGCTTTCCTCCACCAGACCCACCATGCACTTCCTGCATTGGAATCAGCTGACTATGGACTGAATGCTCTAAAAAACCATGAGCCAAAATAAACATTTCCTCTTTTAAATTGTGAGTGGCAGTCATTTTGTTCCAGCAATGAGAAAGTGACTAAGACAAGTGCTATAGTTATTAGTAATTAAGACTGGAATAATGAACTTGTGATTCCCCTAATTAGACTCCAAGTGAAATCCAAAATATTTGTGAAGTAAAGCCAAAGCAACTGATGTAGCTTCTGAATCTATTGTTACTCAGTAAACTCTGGCATTGTGGAAAGACACAAAAGTGAGTCTATGTTAACGGCATAGCTTACACATGACAACTCTGTAGAAAGAAAATACCCAACACTGGGAAATTGGTTATTTTGTGATACTTTAATATCACACCAGAGAATGAAGATCATCTCATGGATTTCTTTTTGGAGGATTATAACTTTCTCTGAATTACTACTTACCAGTGAGAGGGACCAAACAGTTTAAAACCCTCAAAAGTTAGAAGTTAAGTTGTAGAAAATTGATAAGGTATGATTATTTTTGTTGTTTCTTGCTTGATAGAAAAGATATTCTAAATATTGTCCTCTTATTGCTTGGTAGCATATCACCTGGTTTTATATTTAATTTAAAATATTAGTCTGTTTGAGCTGCCATAACAAAATACCACAGACTAGCTAACTTAACCAACACGAATTTATTTCCTTATAGTTCTAAAGGCTGGAAGTCTGAGACCAGGAAGCTGAAGTTTTATACAATATTTCCTTAACACTCATTGCCCAAGTGCTACCTAGGGCAGTGATGGTGACCCTTTTAGAAACCGAGTGCCCAAACTGCAACCCCAAACCCATTTATTTATTGCAAAGTGCCAACACAGCAATTAAACCTAAATACTGAGGTTTTCATTTAGAAAAAACAACTCATACTTAACATCTTTTGTCTTAAAAAAAAGCAAAACAAAACTCACTTGCTATAGGTTTGCCGCCACTGATCTATGGGAAATGTAAATTTCTAAAACTTTTATTAGCTCATGTTTATTGTACATAATGATTACATTCATCATGGGGAGTTGGTGGTACATAAGACATTTTAATTCTTTTTTTCTAGGGAAATAGAAATTATCAGGCACTTCAAGCTCCTTATGTATGTGGGCAAAGGTGCTCTAATAGACCTCAGGAAGTCAAAGTAGCTAAACTGAGTGTTGAGAATACATTTCCAAAATGGTTCACTCACACTGCCAGCAAGCAAGCTGGTTGTTTGAGAGGTGGTGGCCGTGGTGGTGGGCATGCAGAGCCCTCTCTGTCGGCACTCGAGCCAAGTATATGAGTTGTTTTTTTCTAAACTAAAACCTCAGTATGTATTAGGTTTAATTGCGGTGTTGGCACTTCGCGATAAATAAGTGGGTTTTGGCTTGCAGTTTGGGCACTTGGTCTCTAAAAGGTTCACATCACTGGCTGGAGGGTTGTGAGGGAGGAGAGGATTCTGTTTTCTAACCATGTGAGCCTCTCCATGGAGCTTCCCGTTCTTCACAGTATGTTTCTGGGTGCCATGAGTGACTGTTCCAAGAAATAGGAAGTAGAAACTGTCAGCGTCTTAAGACCTGGGCCCAGATTGTGGCACTGCAGTACTCTAGTCACTGGTGAAATCACAACACCCAGGTCTGGCACAGGAGCATGAGCCTGTAGTCCCAGCTACTCCAGGTTCTGAGGCAGAAGGACTGGCAGTTTGAGGACAGCCTGAGCACATAGGCAACACAGAGATCCTGTGTCAAAGAAAACAAAACACAGATTCAAATGGAAAAGAAATAGATTACATTTCTCTATAGTAGAGTCAAAGAATTTTGAATCTTAATCTGTCAGTCTTCCTTCTGGTGACAAACTATTTATGTTCCTATTACATGCAAAAGTACAATCACTCTCTCACAAGTCCCCAATGACTCTTCCTATTAAAAACGCAGCTGGCATCCAGGACAACTGTTTGTAGCTATTTTGTTTTTTAAATTGAGACAGGGTGGCCCAGACTGGCCTTGAACTCTTGGGCTCAAGTGATTCTCCTGTCTCAGCCTCCCAAGTAGCTGCAACTACGGGTGTGCACAACTATGTCTGGCTCAGGGTAACTTCTGTTTCCCTACTGCACGCCAGACTCCTGTACTTGCTGGACTGTAGAAGCTGTGAGAAGACTGTTTTCACTCAAACCAGTACGTGATAGGTACCAGTACATAGTAGCTGCTCTATACACCAATTTACCAAATAATCTCATTTAATACATTTTTCAACTGAAAATCTTGAGAACTCACTCGGAGATGATATATTAACTTCCAAATGTTAAGGAGTAATAGTAAAATCAGTAGTTAAAATCTGGGGGCAGTGGCATATGCCTGTAATCCCAGGTATTTGGGAGGCTGAGGCAGGAAGATCTTGAGTTCAAGGCCAGCCTAGGCAACATAGTCAGATCCTGTTTCAAAAAAAATCAGTAGTTATGCTAAGTTTGACCTCAAATTTGTGAAAAGATAATAAATCTGTTTCTCAGTGGGACTTAGAATCTGGTGGAGGAAGGTGGGTTATGATGACACAAATGAGATGACAAAGGCTTACCTAAGGTGTGGGATAGAGCAGATACAGGTGACAGCTTGAAAAAGTGAAAATTTGGTGATTGTCCAAATGCAGGCTGATCTCCACGCTCTGGGAACCGGCTCAGAGCCTCGTAGACCAGGAGAATGAGGAAACAGGCACATTTGGTGGCTCTGGTCAGGAAGAATTCAAGTTCATAAATAGGTCAACTAGCTCTCGAGGCAAAAACTCTAGACCCAGGGATCCTGTGTAGATAATTTATTAACTTTGTTTTTTTGATTTTTTTGAGACAGAGTCTCACTATGTAGTTCATGCTGGCCTTGAAATCATGGCAGTCCTCCTGCCTCAGTGCCTGAGTGCCAGGATTAATTATAGGTGTGGGCCCCCACACCACGATTATTTATTAACTTTCAAACTCCTTTTCCAATTTTAATTTGTGGCAAATCTACATAAAACTTAGCATTTTAGCAATTTGTGTGTGTGGTGCTGGGCACTGAATCCAAGGCCTTGCACGTGCTGGTCAAGTGTTCTACCACTGAATGATACCAGAGCCCTTCATGATTTTTCAGGGTACAGCTTAGTGGTATTCAAACATTCACAACTGTGCTTGCGTTGGCAGCACATGTACTAAAACTGGAATGATATTAACAGTCTGTTTAAAGTACAGCTTTCCTGGGCCAACAGGAACTTCTCCAACAGTGATGTGATACTATCATTGCATGTATGAAACTTGAGTTACCCTCCCTCAAGATTAAATTCCAAAATACCAAAATGAGGGCTGGGGATTTAGCTCAGTGGCACGGCACAAGGTCCTAAGTTTGATCCCCAGTACCAGAAAAAAACAAAAAAAACCAAAAATCAAAAATACCAAAATGATTTGTGTAATTTATTTTTAGGCTACCCTGAAACAGCACAGTGATTTTGCATATGGTAGGCGCTCTATGAAAATGCAGCCTCAGTGTATCATTTAACATTAATATTAACATGCTATAAATTCAATAGTAAACACCTGCTTTTTTTTGTTTTTTTGAGACAGGGTCTTTCAGGGTAGCCCAGGCTAGCCTCGAACTTGCAGGGATTCTCCTTCCTCAGCCTCCCGAGTGCTAGAATTACAGGCATGCTCCACCACCCCCGGCAACACCCGCTTTTGACTTTTAAAATAAGAGTACATTTTTCCCAAAGGCATCTTCGCTCCTCCCCTCACTCTTCCATCACAGACAAGAAAATGCTATCTTTATTTTTATATAAAGTGGCAAGCTGAGTCTCTGGAAGGAAAGCAAGACACCATACACTGTTTTCCAAGTAATCAAAATTCAGTCCACCGCGTGTAGAAAAAACGAGTTGAGGGTCTGGGAGCTGAAAGAATATTTTCTTAGCGCTCAGGCATTTCTGGACCAACTTTACCCAGACAAGAGTTCCTCAAGGCTGCGGTGCAATCGCCTGTTTTCGGGTCAGAGTGCGAGACTCATCAGGACGCTAGCGGGGTGCAGCTCGTGCGGAACCGGCCGCTCCTGACCGTTCGCAACGCGCGCCGGGCGCCGGGAACCGAACAGCGGGGCCACGGCCGCTGAGTGGGCGCCGCCTCCACCCAACAGTCGAGGGCGGGCGCACGCCTGGGGAGTGGCGGGCGAAGGTCGGGGTCTCGCCCGAGGTTCCGATCGGGCCTAGAAAATGGCTTCGGAGCATGCGCCGTAGCTGCCGTTAAGAGCGCCGGGGTTACGGACGGCCGCTCCGCCTCTCTCCTCGATGGGCCTCGAGCTCTGAGGTGGGACTGCTGCCTCCGGAAGATGGGACCATAGCTTCCCGGTAGGACGCAGGGAGTTAATAGAAGCCGCTGGTTGACGTGCTGCCCACATTTCAGGCTGAGTTGCGGTCGATTGAACACGTGTGTGCTATTGAGACCCGAGAGCCAGATTCAAGTCTGTGTGAGTGACTTGGGTCGATGTTGCAGCATGAAGGACACTCGGTATTTCATTTTGATGAAGTTTTAAAAAGCTACGGAGAGCAATATGGATGATGTTGGGTGTTTTAACAGTGAAATTGGCGGGACGCGGGTGTTTCGATTTATATCAAACTGAATAGTGGTAAAAAGAAAGACTGGGTGCTATTGCACCTAGCTGAGTTTGAGGTAGTGGAAAGTTATGCCTGCAGACCTGTTTGCTAGTGTCAGAAATAGTACTTGCAGGATAAACTCTGTGGTTTAAAAAGTAACACGTTAGAAGAGAGAAAGCCCCTCTCCCTTCCCTTCCCTTCCCATCCCATCTGGGCAGCTATTTCCTCCCCAAGGGTTGGCGGTGGGTGGCTCTTGTGTTGCTCAGGCTGGCCTCCAACTCAGTTCTGCTTCAGGTGTGCCAAGCCACTAGTCATCACGCCCAGCAGGTGTCTCTCTTTATGAAAACGGAATTCTGTATTTACAGCTGAGTCGCTCCTGATTTTCTGATACAGAGCTGAGGATATATCTGAGTTCTTTGTCTCAAGAGAATTTGGAAATAAAATGGAAATAGAAGAAAAGAACGTGCAGGTAAATGCCAGCCCTCTAACTGGCCTATGTGACTTTCAGACTTAACCATAGCGATGTACTGAGATTACAAGCAAAATCCATCCCCTTTAGACTCTAGCATTTCCTGGGGTGTTGAACTACGCAAGACCTGATATTGATGAAATGTCTGCATTTGGTGTATATAAAGTACAATAGTGTTTTTATCACTGCTTTTTTTTTAAGCAAAACATTTATTGGACTATTTTAGATGTACATAATGATAATACTCATCTTAGGGAATTTGCACCTGTACATGTTACATCCTGCCTCTTTTTTCCCATTTCCCCCTTCCCTTGATCCCCCTCCCTATGTACAAAAGCTTTGTTTCCATTTTTTCCTTCTATTTTCACTTTTCTTTTTTGTCCCTTCCTTCCTTGCCCCCTTCCCCTCTCCCTTGTCCCCCTATCACCAATTGTTACTTTAAAAACACTGTCTCTACTGTAAATGTGTGAATGAATCACCTGGAGATTTTAAACTGTGGATTTTGAGGAGGTCTGGTGTGAGGCCTCAGAATTTGCATTTCTGTGACATTTTCAGGGGTTTGGGGACTATGTGCGCACGTGGGTCCAAGGCCAAAGCCTGTCTAAGAGGGTGCAGAGGAGCCCAAGTAAAGCTCAGTCAGAACGTCATTTGTTATCCAAACATTTTCCAGCCTCTTGTCTATGTGGAACACAGGCTTTGGCAGTTCACAAAAGGCCCTCAGTGGTTAGCTGACTTCTAATTGTTATTACGGCATTCACTAGTAATGTTTATGTCAGCTGAAACTGAGCTGTAGCAAGCACAAGGCCCAATTCTCACCTGCAGAAAGACAGCAGGTGAGCAGTGGAGGACAGGGGCGTGAGGGAGGGAACTAGGGTATTCTTCAAAGTGATCAGGGAAAGAAAGATTTTCCCCTCATTTAATTTCTCTTTGTTTAAAAACTTTCAGAGCAATAGTGTGGTTGATGGTAATTTTGAAGAAGTTTGTCCAGAGAAGATAATTAAGTTTAAACCTCCATTATACAAACAGCGATACCAGTTTGTGAGAGATTTAGTGCGCAGACACGAACCCAAGAAGGTAGGTATCTCTTTCCAAACATGTAACTATTAGGTTATTCCATGAAGTGGTTTGTCAGACTCATTAGTAAGTACTCTTACACTGAGCTATGTCCTCAGCCCTTGCCTTTCTATGTGTGTAGTTGTTCTTACAGTAATTCTGTTTTCGGCTGTTCTACATTCACACAATTTTGAACATTATATCTTAAGCCATAAGTGGTTTTTCCTGTATATGATTCAGTCTGTTTTTGTTCCACTGACTCATGATTTTTGCTTTTGCTTCCTGCCCCAGGATTTGCCTTTATAAAGATTCTTACCTATTAACTAAATACCCTGGGCCAGAGGTAGGCAGAATCTATTGAGCTCATAATTCGGAATTTAATAGCAGGCTTTGGCGTTCAGAGAATATAAATTCTTTTACAGCCTAGAGGTCTGATATTTTATTTTTGGCAACTTGATTTTCAAGCACATTGTCAGTGTGCATTTATGAAAGCCTTATCATTTTTTCACATTGTACTAATAGTTGGAAGACTTGTTTTCTAGTCCAGGTTATACTGTTTAACTTTAATAATGAGAGGTTTGGATTCTTTCTCTTTTTTTTTTTTTTTTGAGACAGGGTCTTACTTTATAATACCACCCAGCCTTGAACTCACTGTGTAGCCCAGGCTGGCCTCAAACTCATGTTGATCCTCTTGCCTCAGCCTCCTGAGTGCTGGGATTACAGGCATGCACCACCATGCGTGGCTTGGGCATTTTCTTTAGGGTTTTTTTCCCCCATCTTGCAGTCTTTATAATTCCATTTTTTTAGATCTTTAATTTGTTATAGTTTCTTTATTTCTTCTTATCTTGTTTTCTATTGTGCCATATGTGCCATATTTCCTTTTATGTTGTTTTGTTTGGGACATAAATATTTACTATTAGGTTTTCTTTGCTTACTGATATTTTATAAATTATTTTCATCAAGGCTTTTGCTCTGATGTCTGCTTTCTCATCATTATTCCATGTTCTCCTCTTTTTAGTTAAGCATGATCTTAGTCCATCTTCTGTGAATTAAAAATAAATTCTGTACATTAAAGAGTTACAATATAAAAAGGGAAACAATAAAATGGAAAAAATGTCAGACAATATGGGTTCGACTTTTTAAACAGTTAACTGGAAACCTTACAAAGATGCCATAAAAGGAAAAGAATTTATTATATAAAATGGTAAATTGCTCTATGTAGTAGAGACACCATGAACAAAATCAAAAGCTAAACTATAGTTGTGAAGAAAATGTTGGCCACACAGAAGAAAGACTTAATGCATGAAGAATGCTTACAAATTGATTAGGAAAAGACCCAATAGAAAAAGTGAGCCAAGGAAATAAACACACATTTTGCAGATTAGGTTATGTAGTTGACTGGTCTTCACTTTATTTTTTTTGTGGTTCTGGGAATTGAACCAGGGACTTCACACTGAGCTGCATTCTGAGCCCTTTTAAATTTTTTTATTTTGAGGAGACAGGGTCTTGTTAAGTTGCTCAGGCTGGGCTTGAATTTGCAGTTCTCCTGCCTCAGCCTCCCAGAATGCTGGGATTACAGGTGTGCACCACACATCCAGCTTTAATTTTTTTAATCCTTTTTTTTTTTTTTTTTTTTGCTACTGGGGCTCAAACTCAGGACCTTGTGCTTGCGAGGCAGGCACCACTGAGCTAAATCCTGGCCCTGATTTTTTAAAATCTTTTTAAGAGATGGGGACCTCGCTGTGTTGTCCAGGTAGGTCTCTGACTCCTGAGAAACATACCAAGACCAAATTCAAAAGGAAAAAGAAAAGAAAAAAGAAAAGGTAACAGCTAGGTATGGCAGCATATGACTGTAATTCCAGCTACTTGAGAAGCTGAGGCAGGAAGATTACACAAGTATTGAGGTCAGCCTGGGCAACTTGATGAGACTTTGTCTCAAAAGGAAAAAAAGGGCTGGGCATATAGCTCAATGGGAGAGTCCCTCTGGTTTAATCCTCAGTACTGCACCACTTAAAAAAAATTACAAAATGGTCTTGCTCATCAGCTTCAGAGAAAATCATGATTTCATGGAATTTATATACCAAATCATTATCATAATGAGTTTGATGTTCTGTCTGTAGATTAGATGTTGGTAAGGTGAACATCTAGATAAAAAGGTTTTTTTTTCTGTTCTCTATTGTAGTCTCAGTTAAGATTCTTTTGTACAGAGGTTTCCCCTGCTTTAATTACACCAGGGCTGCCTGAACACAAAGATGTGTTCATTTATGTCTTCGTAGCCATTTAGGCACATGTATTCAGGAGCATTTAAAATGGCCTTTTTGGCAGCTCATAGTTCAGTATGGAATTTCATATGGTTTGATGCGATTGTTGTCTCAAATAAATTTCTCTATATAGAAAATAAAAGCGGTGTTTTAGAGAGGTATTTTTCTTTTTGCTGAAACATGGAACTATGAATATTTATGACTCCAAGTTCCGATTCTGAATGGGAAAACTGCATGTACCTAATCTTTCTCCCCTCTCATTAGTCAAATATAGACAATAGTAGTTGTTCTAGAGTAGGAATGGCTATTTCTATTTGACTTTCATCAAACGGAAATCGTTATTTGCCCAGAGACTTATAAAATCTCAGATGAATTCTAGTTTTGGGTACACAATCCTGCTGAAAAGATCTTTCCATATAGTGGTTTTATTACTGATACATAGTCACTCCACACTTCCAATTTTTTAGTTCATACTCCTCTGGCTACAAATGTCTTTGGAATGTCATTCTGTCTCATCTGCAGGTTGCAGACCTGGGATGTGGTGATACTGAGCTCCTAAGGCTGCTAAAAATCTACCCATGCATTCAACTGCTTGTTGGAGTAGATATTGATGAGGAAAAATTACAATCAAATGGGTAATACTTAGTGCAATGGTTTATATATGTTTGTCTCCCAAACGTGTATGTGCTGGAAGTGTGGCCCTCAGAGTGGTGGTTAGGGCTAATAGAAGGTAATGAAGTATGGGGGGCTCTGCTCGGAATGGACTGAAGCCTGTCTTTGGAGAGTGGGTTAGGTCTTGTGATTGGATTAGTTGTGAGGAGGGGTTATAAAGCATGGCCATCCCATGTGCTTGGCCCTTTCAAGCCACTATTTCCCCTTCTGATGCAGATTGTTTTGAGAATGTTTTTCTTCTAAAAAACAAATAGCTCAAAATCACTGATCCAAAGTGAGCTGGAAGACCAAAGTATTAAAATGAGAACAACATCAAATATTTATTCTCACTGGCCAGTAACTTCCCACAATGAGAGGAAGCTGCCCTGTAACCTAGGTTTAGTATATCAAGATGAGGAGAACAAGCCAAGCCAGATTTACAGTAGTGTAGGTAGATGATGATTATCAAGGGATCTGAGATCTGTAGCTAGTGGGAATTAAAAAAAAAAATTTTGCGGTGCTGGGGATCAACCTCGGGTTTTTGCATGCTGGTTACCACTGGTACCACTGGTTCTACCACTGAGCACATCCCCAGCCTGAGACTTTCTAAATAGATCTTGTTTAGAATGTTTCTTACTTACACAGTAATTCTTTGCAGACATCATTTGTCTCCCTATTTGGGGGAGTTTGTAAAACCCCGGGATCTGGATTTGACTGTTACCTTGTATCATGGCTCTGTTGTGGAGAGAGACTCTCGCTTGGTTGGATTTGACTTGATAACGTGCATTGAATTGTAAGTCTTCCACTGTATTAACTGTTCATTCTGAAAAATATGAAAGGATTAGCTTCAGTAATCTTAGTGTCCTAAATATTTGGGTCATGATGATTATTTGCAACAAAAATTGCTCAACAGGGCTGGGGATTTAGCTCAGTGGTTCTGCCTCCTGCCTCGCCTAGCGCAAGGGCCCGATTTCAATCCCTGGTGCAAAAAAAAAAAAAAATTTGCTCAACAGTTGAGAATATCTTTTTATTCTCATTCCATATTTTACTTGGAAATACAGCTAAGTTCCAAAAAACAAACAGCACCAAGAGCACCCATATATCATTTATCCAGGTTTACCTGTTAATGTTTTTCTCCTTTTCTTTATCATCTGTATATGTGTATGTGTACTCTCCCCCCGACAGTTTTGCTTTCTGGAGCTAATTAAAGGTAGGTTATAGACATCATGGATCTTTTCCCCTGATAAAAAATTCAGTTTGTGTTTCTAAGACAAGGGATTATGTAACTGGTTCTCCATTTTTCATTTTTAATGTTTTTTAATTTTGGACTTCTGGTGATTAGATTCAGGTTACCCATCCTTGGAATACTGTAGAACCCTGGAGAGGTATTTGGGACCTTCTTAGACCATCCCAATCGAGGACATATAATGTCTACCTGTCCCTTGGTGATGTTAATTTTGATCCTCCCAGTGTTTGGTCCACTGAATAATTACTGTTTTGTTTTTCCCTTTTTCTATCACAGTTGTGGGACAGTCTGGGGAGACACAGTGAGAGTATGCAAATATCTTGCCACTAATCCAACTTTACCTAGATTTAGTATCATGAATGCTCAGTCTATTAAAATGGTGGGAAATGATGTTTTTTTATGATTCCAATTCTTCTACATTTACTCATCAACCCATGACATTTTACCATTGAGCAAGATCCTTCCCTTACACTCTATCAATATATAGTTTCCTATTTTTTTAGTGGTTTATGATTTATCCACTTATTTTCTTGTTTGTCCCAGGCTTTGCCATTGGGTGTCCACCTAGTTGGTTCCTGTGTCCTTGTGATATGTCTTGTTTGTGAGTACTTAGATTTTGAAGTAATAAGATGTTTAAGGCTCCCCCTTTTTTTTTTTTGGTACCGGGGATAGAACTTGGGACCTTGCACTTGCGAGGCAGGCAGTGGCACCACTGAGCTAAATCCCTGGTCCTAAGGCTCCTCTTATTCAGTTCTGTCCCTAGTCCTGGAACTACAGGCATGTGCTATAGTGCCTGACTATGTTTTTTTATTGTTGCATATTTCCCTACTATAAGAATGTAACATAATCTGTCTTAGTCACTTTCCCCTTGTTGGACACAATACCTGACACTCACAACTTAAGGAGAGGTTTATTTTGTGGTTTGAGTCCATGGTTGGCAGACTCTATGGCAGAAACAGAATGGCAGATGGATATGGTAGAGGAAATGGTATTCAGCCCATGGGCAGCCAGGAAACAGAGACAGAAGGGAGGAGCTGGGGATGAGAATACATTGTTCCGGGTCATGCCCTGTTATTGTTTGGATCTGAAATATCCCACCAAAGTCTCATGTGTTTGGAAGGTGATTGGATCATGGAGGAGCTGTACTCACCAGTGGATGTGTCCACTGGTGAGTTCAGCAGCTGAGTGTGCTGTGGGGAGGTGGTGCCTGGCTAGAAGTGGGTCAGTAGGGGTGTGATCTAGAAGGGTGTATCTCTCTTCCTAGCTCCACCATTTTCTCTCTACTTCCTGGCTGTCCTGACATAATAAGCTTTTCCTCCTCTATGCCCCTCTACCATGCCATTTCTGCCTTGGACCTGTGAGATCATGGACTGTAACTTTCTTTTAAGTTGTGGTTGTCTGGTAGTGTGTCTCAGCAATGAGGAAAATAACTAACACATGTCCCCAGTGACCTGCCTCCAACCAGGCCCGACCTCCTAACAACACATTCAGCTACTGAACTCATCAATGGATGATCACCTTTCATACATATGAGAATTTTGGAGGGCATTTTAGATCAAAACATTCTACTCCAACCTCCAAAAGACTCATGTCCATCTCATTATGCAAAAGGCATTTAGCCCATCTCTTCAGTCACCAAAGTTTTAACAGTTCCAGTTGCTGAAAAGTCCAAGTCCAAAGTCTCCTCTGAGACTCAAGATGAACTCTTAGCTGTGAGCCTCTATAAAAACTAAAAAGAAAGTTAAATACTTCCAACATACAATGGCACAGGGCAAACGTTCTCATTCCAAAAGTGAGGAATAGGGGGATAAAAAGGAATCAAACTGAAACAAGATTGAAGCCAGAAGGACAAATGTTAAATCCTGTAGCTCTGTGTCCAGCACCCAAGGCAGGTGACATGTGATCTCCAAATGGGTAGCCCCACTCCTGTGACAATGCCAGTTGCAGCCCTCATGGCCTTTCCCTTGGGGTGGCTCTGCTTACTACCTGGAGGTTTCCTCAGCAGACATTCCTGGCATCTTGAACTTCTTGGAGGTCTCTACTGCACTTTTGGCTTCACCCTCACAGCTTCATGCACTGCCCTCTTAGGCATACACTTCTTGGCTTCTCAGGCCTTCTTCAGAAATCTAGGCGGAAGCTTCAATGACCACATAACTCTTGCATTCTGCATGCTTATATGATCAGCACCATGCAGATGGATGATGTCAGGCTCTACTGCCAGCTGTGGCAGTAACCAGGCCCCCTTATGCCTACACAGACCTGAGTGTCTGGATGGCTGAGCACTATGAAATGAATTTTGGGGAACCAAATCCTGGGTAACCACTTTTCTAGGCAGCCCCTCTTGAACCAAATCCTGGGTAACCACTTTTCTAGGCAGCCCCTCTTGAGCAGGGGGCCCAGGGGATCTCTTCTGAAACAAAAGCTTTATAGTTTTGCACTTGACATTTGAGCCTGTGAAGGGTGGGGTCTTGCTATTTCCTGTGATGACTTCAAACCTCTTTCCTATTGTCCTGATGCAAAGTATTTACCTTTTTAATGCTAATCTTTTCAGCAACCATGCTTTCCAAGGACCAACACTCCAGGTACTTCATTTCTGATCAGACTGTCAATTTTCATATCTGCTTTTTGCTCTTGATTTTCATTGTAGATCTGACTAAAAGCAGCCAGGCAATATCCATGCCACAGGCTGCATGTTGGGCTGCTTTGAAATTTCTTCCACTAGATTAATTAGTCCACCATTCTTAAATTCAGTTTCCTGCAGAATCTCAGGATATGGCCAAAATAAAGACCAATTTTTTGCCAGGGTATAACACATGGCTCTAGTTCAACTGTCAATGAAATCTATCTTAGTCACTTTTCTCATTGCTGAGACACAAAAGCCAATACACACAATTTAAAGGAGGAAAAGTTTATTTTGGCTCACATTTGTAGTCTGTAGTCAGCTGGCTCCAAGGCAGAATAGCATGGCCCAGGGCCATAGTGTGAGACAAGGTGCTCATAGCATGGCAGTGGGAAAGCAGAGAGTGCGCCAGGAGAGGAGCTGCATAGAGAGACAAATCCTTCAAAGCCATACCCCCGGTGTCTGTGGTTGTCAGGCTCTAAGGCAGAAGTAGGATGGCAGACGGGCATGGAAGAAGGAAAGATGTTCAGCCCATGGCAGTCAGGAAGCAGAGACAGAAGGGAGGAGCTGGGCACAAGCATACACCCTTCCAGATCATACCTGGTCAGCATGACCCAGCTCCAACTAGGCCCTACTTCCTAACTGCGCATTCAGCTACTGAACTCAATGGATGAATCCACTGGATATAGTGTCCCCATAGTACAGTCACCTTCCCCACACAGGAGAGTTTTCAGGGACATTTTAGATCTGAGCCGTAACAATGTGTTTAACCAGTGTCATATTAAGGAACATTTAGAGTGATCTGATTGTTATTGCATGGCTTTGTTTATATGTTGTTTTTGCATATGTGAGTATATCTGTAGAGTAAACACCTAGATATAAAATTGCTAGGTCAAAGGACACATGTATTTTGAATTTTTTGGTTTTTTTGGTATGTGGGGAATGAACTCAGGATCTCAAGCTTGTCAGGCAGGCGTTGTGTGTATTTTTAATTTTGATAGCACCTTTGGTTATGGTGCAGGTTTGAGTTGGTAGAAGAGAGCCCCAGAGAGTAGATGTAAGAAAGTAGAACCTTGATTCTCTTAATTTAACAGCCTGAGCTGAGTAATCCCATGTTTTGCCATTGCATGGGTATAACTCAGAAACCAAATTCTATTGTACTACCCTTGTAGTGTTACATCCATCAGTACAGTTGTAGCTGCGCTGATTCTTTTTAAAAGAAAAAAACATATTCATTGATTAGAAATACATGTTTGCATTTGTGTATGTAGACATTTGTATTATACAGTACATATGTGGCTTTTATTTTACTGAGTGTGGTGAGGAACCCCAGCCAGGCAGAAAGGTCATATATACACATTATATGAAGGAATTTCGTTCTATACACATACATTTTTGCAGTGCTAGAGACTAAACCCAGGGCTTCACACACGGCTAAGTAGGCACACTACCACCAAACTGAACCCACAGCTCCATCTTACTTTCTAATGTACGGTAAAGCAATCACTTTCCCTTTAATCATGTTATGTTGTAACTGCAATTTTTGATATATGTAGTATTTACACTGATGATGTAAAGAAGGCAGATGGGATGAAGATTTGAGGGACTGCTAGATCTGACAGCTTGGAGACTGATTAACTACTGTAATGGATGAACAGTTTACTTCAGTGCTGCTTCCTATAACTGGTTGAAGGGTCATGATACCTCTGCCTATTAGTGTTCTGAGAAATACAGACCCTCCCGTGTGGTGAGAAGATTATCTTCCTGAACCTTATTCAACACAGCTCCTGGTTTGCTTGCAAATTCATCTGAAGCTCAGGCCCTTATGAAGCAGTTTCATCAATATCTAGAGTTTTTAGGGCATACTGACATAGGAAGTCAACAGTATTTTGTCAGACTCATTTTCACCAATACTCAGATGCAAATTTAAAGAAGTTGTAGGAATGGTACAAGGAACTCCCTAGATTCGGCAATTATTAATCTTTCACTCCATTTACATAGGCATTTTTTTCTAAATATAATTCTCTATGTTTTTCATCTGAACCATTTGAGAGCAAGTTAGAGACACTGTCTCTTTACCCCTAAATACCTCTCTATATCTTCCAAGAACAAATATTTCCTCTTCCATAACCATTGTATACTGAATTAGGAAATGTAACAGTGATACAGCATCATTATGCAATATACAATCTATACTCAAAATCCATCAGTTCCAGTAATGTCTTTGTAGCTATTTTGAAATTTAGCTAGAACTTAAAACACTCCAAGATCACAGAGACATTTTAAATTGTCATGTTGGGTATCCTTTAATCTAGAACAGGTCTGCTCAGTCTTTCTGCTTTATTTGCTCTTTTATCCTTTTTTTTTTTTTTTATTTTTGTGGTGCTAGAGATTGAATCCAGGGACTCATGCGTGCTAGGCAGAGGCTCTGCTATTGAGCTACAGCACCAGCCCTGCCCTTTATTTATTTTTGGTACCTGGGATCTAACTTGGGTCTTTGCGCTTGTGCAGCAGGCAGCGAAACCGCTAAATCCCCAGCCCCCTGCCCTTTATTTTTGAAGAATACATGATAATTGTTTTGTAGACTGCCCCTCAGTCTAGGTTTATCTATTACCTCATTATTAGGTCCAGGTTATGGTTTTTACTTATGTACAGTATTTTTTTGAGGGTTGATGATGTGTCCCATGGAGCTCAGCAAAAGAACTTAAGGGAGCACTGTGGGTAGGGTTGGGGAATGGGGATTTGAATATGTGAATAACTGTTCATGGGTCATGGCACTGTTGCATATTCAAAGAAAAGATAAATCAGTATAGAGATGGGAATTGCTTGTCAGTTAGGAAAGTACTTCCAAGTTAAGGTACGTTAGTAATATCTTTCCCATTAACCATTTTAGAATAGAACATTTGGATTCAGACCATCTGGCCAGATTTCCTGAAGTGGTATTTGGGTACCTGTCTCCAGTCATGATTGTCATCAGCACACCAAATTCTGAGTTCAACCCCCTGTTTCCCATAGTCACCCTAAGAGATGCAGACCATAAATTTGAGTGGAACAGAATGGAGTTTCAGACCTGGTAAGTTCAGAAGGTTTTTTGTTTGTTTGTTTGGTTCTTGGAAATCTTACTGGAGTTTAAAAATCCTAGGAAGTAAACCTTTATGTGTGTATCTTACCTAAATTCTTTTCTTTATTCTAATAAATTCCCAATGTGTAATGTATGTACTATATAAGGGATCATAAGGAACTACTACATCTGGGCAGCTCTGGAAAGGGTGTGTGGGCACCAGGTGCTGTGCAGGTGAAGGCATCTGTAGAGTGGGCATTAAGGATAGGCAGGTGTGGGGCTGTGAGTGAGCCACAGGTCCAGGTCCTGGGCCAGCTCCTTGGGCTAGCTCACATTTCTGGAGTAATTGTAAACCAAAATAGGTAGTTGAGGCTGTAGCTTTTGTGGTCTCTTGTGCAGCCCCTCACTCTGAGTGCCCCATAACTTTTTCTCTTCCATATTTTTGTGGTAACTTGGAAACTGACATTATGTCACTGCCTATGCTCATTAGAAACTAAGCAAACCCTGTGATGCAGCATTATGTGATGGTATGCGTGTGTAACGCGGAAGCATTTTAATTCATATTTTACCACTGACTGGAATTTTTTAAATGATATCCATGCGGATTTATGTCTAGATCTTTAACATACATGTAGAGATGTCAGGTCATTCCCTTTATAGTGGCAACATAAAGTTTATGTTCTGCCTGATTATCAATAAACAGCTCTTCTAGCTAGGTGTGGTGGCACACACCTGTGATCCCAGTACTGTGGAGGCTGAAGTGGGAAGATTGCAAGTTTGAGCCCAGCCTGGGCATCTTAGTGACTTAGCGACCTGGGCAACTTATTGAGGCCTTGTCTTCAAAACGGGTTGGGAGAGGCCCCGTGAGGCCCTGGGTTCAATCAGTGGTACCACAGAAACAAACCAACCAACCAGCTCCTCTAACCAGAATGTCTGTAAATTGGCTTTTCATTTTCCCATTATCTTTCAAATAAAAGCCAACTTTATCTTACATAAAACATGGAAAGCTGTTGTGAAGATGCAGGAATGTGACAGGGACTCCAGGGACAAGGATGCATCCTGGCCTTGGGAATGAGCTGGGAGCCAAAACTCGAGTGGCTGGAATTTACTTAACAGTAATTATTAGCAAATTGTTTAAAAGTAGCTGTATGCTTAGAAAAACGATTTCTTTCATTTTTATTCCAGGGCTTTACAAGTGGCAAATCACTACAATTACTCTGTGGAGTTTACTGGGGTAGGCAAACCGCCAGCTGGTGCTGAGCATGTTGGATTCTGCACCCAGATAGGCGTCTTCCGGAAAAACAGCAGAGAGGCACCAGGGCCCTGTGTTTCAGAGCAGCACGATCATCATGTTTATAAAGCTGTGAGTATTCTTGGTGCGGCAGCACTCAGGGCGAAAAGTACGCTGCTTAGGATGGTGAACTTTTTTTGTCTTTTACTAGTACCAAAGTAGAGATGAGTGTGAATTTCTTTATTTTGAGTCTCAGCTTGACAGATTCTTCAGGGCCCATGACTCCTGGTAGAGCTGGTCTGCTGCATCCGTTGATACTGCTCAGTCCCTTGGCATTTCTCAAGGCATCTTAATGAGAACAATCTTGAGCAGCAGTTTTAGAATACTTCAAAAGCATACTTCAGTAACATCATTTGTAATCTCTTCAAATTATTGGCATTAAAGAAAAAGCGAGCCAAGCTGGACTCGGTACATACCTGTAATTTCAGCTACTCAGGATGCTGAGGCAGGAGGATCACAAGTTCAAGGCCACCCTAGCAAGATGTAGGGCCACTTAGTGAGACTCTGTCTCAAAATAAAAAGGGTTGGGAAACTTGTGAGTTTGGGTCACGAGCTCACACAGGCCACTCTGTTGGAGTCCACGAGTCTATGAGTATGGAAATGTCCTTAGATGCTGTTTTGTCTGCCAATCTCATGAGCTTCGTTGTTTCGAGAATATTTCATTGCAGAGGTTGTCAATTTTTGGATCTGGATGTCTCAGCCCATGTGAGTAGTGGGAATTTAGTCCACACATTTCATCTAGCTTGAGCTTGATTTCTCATGAAACTCTATCCATGTGGTCTCAGCAGCTGGCATGTGGCCGCCAGAAGCAGAAGTATGTTCCGAGGACCCCTGCTGGCCCACGCAGCTCAGTGTCGTCGTCGTCCCCCCGCTCCGAGCTGCACCTTGGTCTGCCCTTCCTGTGGGCCGTGAAAGGCGTGGCCAACACAGCAGCTTTGATTTGTTCTTGATAAACACGCAGGCTGCTCCAGTTTTACCTTTCAGATCTGTAGTTTTCACCCTTGACTTCTTTTGTATAAGTTCTTGGTTTTAAGTTTGGGTAAATACAAAAGATAGCCAAAATGAAAAAAAAAAAAAAATAAATAAAAAGGGTTGGGCATGTGGCTCAGTGGTACAGCACTTGCCTTATGCCCAATTCTTTGGGTGTGCCCATGCATATTACACAAGCACGCAAAATCTAGTCATCCAGAAGAAACACATTTTGCCTCTCAACTGAACCATTTTCTCTTCTTTCCTCCCTCCTGTTTCCTCCTCCTTTCTTTCATTCTTTCCTTCAGAGTCTCACTCTGTTATGCAGAGTGGACTTAAACTCCTTAGTCAAGAGATCCTCTTGCCTCAGCCTTCCCACCAGCTTGGGACCACAGGCACATGCCAACAGATCCAGACCAAACTATTATTCTTTTTTCACCCTTTTCCCTGTACAGTAAGTCCCCAACTTACAAGTTCCATTCTGGGAGAACATTCATAAGACAGACTCAACAAAGTGAGTCTTACACACCTTTGACACAAACATACAAGATAAAGCATAAAAAAACCAAACACACACACACAGATACTGTCAATAAACTATTTTTATTGGTACAGTTACCTTAAAATGGTAAGGTAGACAGGAGAGCTATTCTTTTTTTTTTTGGTACCAGGGATCGAACTCAGGACCTTGCGCTTGCAAGGCAGGCGGCAGCACCACTGAGCTAAATCCCTGCTCCCTATGGGAGCTACTTCTGTGATTTGTTCACATCTACGAATGTCTGTAATCCAAGGGGCATTTGTATTTGTGAAAGTTCACAACTCAAATGTTCTGCATCAGTGACTTAATGTGATCTCTTAGGAAGGAGATGTATTGGATTAGTGTGCATTGGTAGAACCCTGGCTGGGAGAAACTGGCCATTAGAATTGGAAAACAAATCAGATAATTAATGTCAGTATGTGAGTCATTTGAGTCCCATTATAACTGAGGCATTTACAATGAGGATCTGACCCTATCTAATATGTAACTGGATATAATACAGTAAGAGTTAAACTCTTATGTGGCAGAGAGGTACGGATGGCTTTGAAAATTTTCCTATGTTTCATGTGTTTTGCTTCCTTCCCTTCAGGTTTATACAACCTCCTACCCAAGTTTACAGCAGGAAAGGGTGCTCAAATTTGAACTGGTCGGGGAAGTGTTGTTCCAAGTGGAACACTTGAGACTTCGGCATCTGCGAACGCTGCGAGAAGAGAAGAGGGGAGCGGGCACTGTGCCTGTGCCGAAGGACCCATCTGTGGCCCCCAGCCTGATGTTGGGAGCACTCTTCACAGAGGCTGAAAAAGCCAGGATAGAGAATTCTCCCAAGCCCTTCTGTGAAGGGGGTAGGTTTTTCGTCCCCCTGCAGAGACTCCTTGCTTATCCCAGACTGCACCGCTTGCCTGTGGATGAAGAGAGGATGCGATCACTTCTTGCTGACTCCGTGTGTTTGAGCAGTGATGGGTCTGCAGTCACGGTTGACCTGCATAATACTTGGGATTGTGACCCTGAAGATAATTGAGCCATCCATATTTCCCAAAGTTCGAAGTCTCAGCAATAGTTGAACTCACTCAGAACTTAAGCTTTTTTTGGTTATAGTCCTATTTAAGTAACATTTAAAAAGTTTGAACACAAGCCATTCCTGACTGGTGGAGATATGGCTGACATACAGCCAGATTGCTCTTTACCTGAGAAAGGTATTGGGGTTTAACTAAAAGCAGTGTGGTTTTTCAATTGGAAATTTTCTTTGATGTTTTCTCAAGAATGAAGAAAGAGGATATGATAATGTTTTGAGTGTACCCGTATTTTAATGTTTGAGCCCTATGTTGAATGACATTAAAAATTCAAAAGTGCGGGCTGGGGATTTAGCTCAGTGGTTTCATCACCTGCCTTACAAGCGCAAGGTCCCAAGTTCGATCCCTGGTACCAAAAAAAAAAAAGTCTACACTTAGGGCCGGGGATTTAGCTCAGTGGTTCTGGCGCCTGCCTTGCAAGCGCAAGGTCCCAAGTTTGATCCCCGGTACCAAAAAAACCCCCCAAAAAACAAAAGTGCACACTGTAATCTCAGCCACTCAAGAAGCTGAGGCAGGAGAACTGCAAATTGGAGGCCACCTGGTCAGTTTACCAAGACCTTGTCTTAACAATGTCTGAGGAGGGCTGGGGATTTAGCTCAGTGGTTTTGCCACCTGCCGCGCAAGCGCGAGGACCCGAGTTCAATCCCTGGTACCAGAAAAACCCAACAACAAAATGTCTGGGGATGTAGCTCAGGGAGTACTTGCCTACCATGCCTGAGGCCCCGTTTTCAGTTCCCACTATTGGGAAAAAAAGTGATCAAATGCACTTTTTCAACCTTTTCTCAAGGGTTCTGAATGGCTTTTAAATATTTCTAGGATTCTCCTTTGGGTCAAATTCTTACCTATTATTTAGCCTAAAAATATACAAAAAAGAAATACAGGTATTTGAAGGGCACAGACGCTTCCTTATGACATAACCATTGTCAACAGTCCATGGTTTCATTTCTTTTGTTTTTTTTTGGCAGTGCTGAGTATTGAACCCAGGACCTTGTACATGCTAAGCAAGCACTGTACCACTGAACTACATCCCCAGCCATGTCTCTTTTTTTGAGCACCTGCTTCTCCAGGAACTTCCTGATTGGCCTGGGGTGGTATGAACATTGGGAGGAAAAAAAAAAATACAGCTTCGCCCACTGGGGGAGAAAGTGATTTAAATGACTTTTCTAAGGCACGGGAGTCCAGGTGACCAACAGGGCACACTTAGATGTGTGCTTTGCTTACTGTAGTATACTTGGCATGCCACCTGAGGGACAGAGATGGAGATGTGATCTCCAGCTACCATTTTCACATTCCATACCAGCAGAAGGGAGAAGTGGCACGAGCCAGCGGCCTGCTCTGGTTGCTGCAGGTTGTATTCTGAGACCTCAGAATGAGGTCTTACGGCCATATGTAGCAGCAAAAGAAGCTGAGAAGCAGTTTGTATTCTGGGAGGCCACATGACCACTTGGTGGCCTTCCAGGGAACAAGAGGAAAATGGACACTGGCAAATTGTGCCATACCTGGGTATCCTGACTACCTTGAGATGGGCCCTAGTCAGGGGTGCAGTGTTGCTCTCTGAGCAAGGCCTACAGTGGCCAGTCAGGCTGAAGCTGAATTTTGAAGGGGTAATCATTGGGAAGTAGATTTGGTGAGGACAGGAGACAAAGGATTCTGGAAGAAAAGTATTAATCATATAACCTCTGTTAACCACCTGGTTTCTCCTTAAATCTCAGACTCCTCCACCTCCATGTATCTGTACTGAATCCTCCCCTCCACTTGTGCTCAAAAGTACAATGACCTAGAGATCGGCATCCCTCCTCATCCATCCCAAAGGCCCTGTCCTCAACCTTTCTAGGCCTGTATACAACTTTCGTCCTAAGGCTCCTTTCTCATTGTTGCTCTTTTCTAGTGCTGCATTTTCTAGCCAGGGCCAGCCTTTTATCTTTCTCCAAAGCTTGATCACTTGATCCCCTACCTTTTAAGAAACCTTTAAGGCCTCAGGACTGTGGGGGGCGGGCGCTAAAGCCCCTTGGGTTTCACCTGCGAGGCAAGCACTCTACCATTGAGCCACACCTCCCGCCTTTGTACCTATTAAAGTTGTGTTTACTCCTTATCTTGACAGATGCTTTCTTTGCACATTGAAAGGTTTATTAACCTTTTTTTTTTTTTGTACCAGGGATCGAACTTGGGTCCTTGCACTTGCACAGCAGATGACGAAACCACTGAGCTAAATCCCAGGCCCAGCATGTTGGCACAGGCCTGTAATTCTAGCACTTGGGAAGCTAAGGCAGGAGGATCACCATGAGTTCAAGGCCAGCCTGGGCTACACAGTGAATTCAAGGCCAGCCCGAACTACATAGCGAGACCCTTCTAAAAAAACCCCAAAAAACAAAAACCCAAAACATTCCAGCCAGAGATCAGGGAATATAGGGCTAGATAGTGAATCTTTGCAGGTTGTAGGGCTTCTAGCACAGCAATTCAACTCTGCTTGAGTTGGAGAGGAGCAGCTCTAGGTAATGTAAACCTGTGCCTCTGTTCATTAAAACATCTGAAGGCAGGTTTGGTCAATAGTCTGTAGACATTTGTTCCCTTTACTGCTGGGGACCAAACCCAGGGCCTTGTGCATGTTAGGCAAGGGGGTCTACCACTGAGCCACACCCTTGCCCAGAACCTTGTTCCAAACAAAGATACACCCTACCCTTTAGCAGCACAGAAATGGTGGAAAATTTTGTAAAGGCAATTACAGATTAAGATCCCTACTGCTATAAATGCAGAAAGCAGCCAGTCAGGGCTTGCTAAGGGAATTTTACCTCAGTTACATGTAGTGTGGGGCAGTAGCCCCATCACAAAGTTCTTACAGATGCTAAGGGGATAGGGCCTGCCCAGCACAGGGAAAGTGTTCTGAGACAGCTGTGTTACTCTCCAGGATGACAGAAAGGCCCATTCTGGGGTCCAGGCAGCTATTGCTCACAGCAGTGAATACTGCAGACCTAGAAAGAAAGCATTATTCAAGACTGTTTCTAAGACTGAATTGTTAAACACTTGTGGTTTGAAGAAGCAAGTAGAGAAGTGGCAGCCTACACTTTGTGTAGAGTCCTCTTTGTTCTCTGCAGAACGAGTGTACACAGCGCCTAGCCCGGTTTGTCTCAGACACTGCAGAGGGGACCTGCTGGAATGAGGTGTCCTCTTCAGTCATTGCCCAGTCCACACTGTCACCTGCTGTCCCTTCACTGCTCCTAGAACATCTCAACTCACTGGAACTATGCTTCCCAAAGTGAAATCGTGAATAGCCATTCTCTCCCTACTCCACACTGTTCCGAGAATTTTCTAGGAGTAACCTAAGAAATCAGATAGTGGAATTGAACCCTTTGAACTCTTAATATTTTATGCTATCTTCATATCTGAAAGTTCCATTTTATAATCATGCCTTGGAATGAGTGGGCTTCCTAAGGTCCACCTGAGTAGGGAAGACAAAATTATTTTTTGGTTCTGGTGTTTGAATACAGGGCCTTGTTTGCCTAAGCACACTCTCTGTCACTTAGCTATACTCCCAGCCAGAAGTTTTTCATTTTGCTTTCTTTTTTGGGGGGGGGGGATTCCTATTGGTAAAATATATTATACCTTATATGTTGGGTAAAGCATTGCTGCTATCAAATTCACAAGGCTAAGCACCGGTTTTAGATCATGTGGGTAAGGAGCTTCTGGTTGCAGGAAATGTTGGAGGGAAAATACATTTTCTCTTAAACTTATGTTCTGGCTCAACTTTCGATGTTTGAACCTTGATGGGGACAACTGCAGCTACCTTTAACTCCAGTCCTCCAGAAAACAAGGAAGCAAACAAAAATAACCAAATCCTAAATAACTTACCATTGTCTGTCTGTCTCTTTCCCTTCCTTTTCCCTTTTCTTGCTTGGGAGCTAACACATGTGCATACTAGGCAAATGCTGTGCAACTGAATTACACCACAGCCCTAAAAACTACCAATTAAAAAACTGCACCTTATTTCTGTAATAATTTTAAAATTTAAGTTATGAACGTAAAAGATTATAACAGTTTAGAACTGTACCGAATTTAAATAATTTCATAATACCGTAAATAAAATTTTTACCCTTAAAAATCTACTCTTCATAGCCTGTTGGGAATTCCTGACCCCTCCAATTGATTACTCCTCTGGCAAAGCAGTCCTGTCCACCACTCCTCATAGATTCCAGTTGACGAAGTGTCCATTTTTATACTATCAACTTCACATTAATGGTATTTACTACAGATTTTGATGCAACTTTTATAAATGTACGGATGTTCTCCATTCTTTATTATTATATGTGCTTTTACAAAACATTCATAGGATGAATAAAATTCATGCTAAAAACCCCAAACTGCTCGTAAGGATGCAAAGAAATGTCCCTCAGGAGCTTGCCCCTTACCTCCATTTTATTCCCAAGAAATAACTATCAAGTATTTCACTACAAGTAGATTTTAGTTTTGCAAGAACTAGTGGCCTTCTGGGGGATAAGGTTAGTCCCCCCCCCGTCCCAGGAAAAACACATGAATGGACCACATAGTTTATAAAGCAGAAGGCCCAAGCACAGCAACTTAGGTCTTTGTGAAGGTGCTATATGGGGAAGAGTTTTATTTGTAGATTTTTCTTTGAAAGCTTTCATTATCACCTACCCATGTCCACACCCCCACGCTAGATGTGAAATACATGTTACCAGGTATCACCTCCAACTCCTATTTCCATGGTCTGAGATCTCCAAAAGCTTTCTGCTACTATCAAAATATCTGAGCAATTATAAAGAGAAAAGGTTAGTTTTTGGTTTACAGTCTGGAGGTTCTAGTCCATGTTCTTTAGGCCTTTAGTGAACAGCACATCATGGTAGGAGCACCTGGCAGAGCAAAGGTGCTCACCTCTTGGCTAGAGAGCAAGAGAGGCAGGGGAAGGGGCCAGGGCCCCACCATCCCCTTCAAGGGCAACCCCCAGTGGCCTAAAGACCACCTTCTAGCCCCACCTCTTAAAAAGTCCACCACCTCCCAATAGCATCTCCCGGGGGGAACAAACCTTTTAACATGTGGGCAGTTGGGGGACATTCAAGATCGAAACTTGCAGAAAAAGCCTGTCTTCACAGCACTCCTTGCACTCAAGTTCAATGTGAACGTGGTCCCCTCAGCATTTTCACAAGTCCCTCCAAACACACCTGCTTTTCCTCACACAGCAGCCAGCTCACATCTTTCCCGGCCTTCTCACCCCTACCCCCACCCTTCCACTTCCTGTCCACTCTGATTTCCAACCTTCTCCTCTACAACATACTCAGCAAGCAGTTTAGCTCCTGTATAGTGTTCTCAGACCTCAGCTTGTTGGTGGCTATCAGGGAATACTTCCAAATTAAGGCAATTCCCTTCATTGGAGTTTGGGTGAAAACAAAACATCTCATCACACCTGGTTCTGTGGAGAAGTGTTGAGCAGTTGGCAGGAAGTCAGGGACTGAGCACCATCAGTGATGGCAATGCAGAATCTTCTGAAGACTTTGAGAACAATGGATTTCTGTCTTGTGGTGTGTGCTAGGTATTAACTACACTAAACGCATATAAAGCACATCTTTGGGGATATTCAGAAAAGGGGACACGTGGGAATATTGTTGCATTCTAGCAAACAAGTTGGTAGAAGCTGAAAGATAGAGAAATTTTTACACTGAATGTTAAATACTAGTTTCTGAAGCCCCATGTGCCAATTATAACCCCCTTTCCCCCTTGAAAATTAATACTCTTGCTCTCTACCTATTTAGCTGTTGGGTTTCTAATGATCTGTCAAATTGCACGTAGACGTTACCTGGACCCTTTTGGCTCCATTGCTGTAATTATCTCCCGTTTCTATGCATTTTATTTCATCCTAGATGCTCTGACTCAGCCAGAAATAGTCAAATTTAGCTGTGATTATTTGTTTTCCCTAGAAACACTACTGCCTGCTTCCGCACCACTCCTTGTCTCTTTGGGCCCTTGGCTTCCACTGAATGGGCCTTGTTTCCCACTGCAGTGTCTCTGCGCTTTATGCTATTCATCTACTGCTTTCTGTTTAAAATCCTCACAGAACAGTAGTTATGGAACTTTTCTTTGATCCCACAACAAATGAAACAATTTCACCTTAATTACACAATGCTTTAAGTTCTTTTTTGAAATTATTTCTATTATTAGTGAAAAAAATAGAAAATTCTTTTTCCTTTGGTTTTAATTCCATGGAATATACATGAAAGAGGGGCAGATACAAGATCATCCCCGGAAAGGGAGATACACCAGAATCATTGAAATTCAATGCCAGAAGGTGGCGCACTCTTTCTAAAGTAACTGCATACATTTGTTTTGAGGCGTTCCAAATATAACTAAGGTTAAAAATAAAAACAAAAACCTTAGGTATGCCAACCTGAAGAGACATCTTAGCCTAGCTGAGTTTCAGTTACATAGGAATGGTATCTAAACCAATTAATATAGGAAGTTTCTGACATTTCCTTCTTTACATGGGTTCACAAGGAATAAAGACCAGTGACCCAGGGAATGCCTAAATTTGAGCCTTTCCTGTTTCCTATTTTTTTGGTTCCATTTCATATAACATAGGAATACTGATGACTTCCTACTTGTAAAAATGGAAAGAAAGATTTAATTATGTACTTCTATCAGGGAAATGATGCATAGGTACACAAAGGGAAGAGGTAAAAATTGGTAAAAGGGAAGGATAGGGAGGGAGAGGAAGAGGAAAATCATTAGGTGTTAAGAAAAGTGGCTAAGTTATAACAAGAAGACCTGGCCTGGGAACATAATGCCAGAGATGAGGACAAGGAGGTCTGAGGGGCAAATCAGAAGTCCTGCTATGATCTGGTGCAAAGTCATCCTGGGTGATCCTTTGTGATCCTGTGTACTGGGGAGGGGTCTGGAGGGTTTCCCAGAGCACACAGACCCTACCCCTTTCTACCAATAAGTAGTGTGCTTTCTGCTTAGTCATGTGACTTTTAATAATGTGTACTGTTTAGGGAAGCCCTGACAATATATAGAAGAGGATGTGGTTTCAAACTCTTATTAAACTATAGTTCAGTGGCTGGGGATTTTAGTTCAGTGTTGGTACCCTCTGCCTCGAAAGCTCCTGAGTTCGATTCCCGGTACCAAAAACCAAACCAAAACAAAACAAACTATAGTCAGTGATGGTGAACCTTTAGGACGTTCAGTGATAACAGAGCTTGCCGCGGCATGTGTGCCATAGGTTTGCAGCCACTGCCATAGTTTTTATTAACCTTAAATTGCTATTATTTTTTTCTCGGTACCAGAGATCCAACTCAGGACCTTGCGCTTGCCATGCAGGTGTGGCTTCTCTGAGCTAAATCCCTGGCTTAAATTGCTATTATAATTTGCATATCAGCATAGGGAATGTGTTGAATTTGTTTTTCCTCCCTGAGGACACTGACCAAAGGGGAAAAAGAGGGCATGTAATCTCAGGATGCTCAGGCAGGAGGGTAGCAAGTTAGGTGACAACCTGGGCAAGATCCTATATCGAAAATAAAAAGGACCTGGGATGCTCTTCCATGCTTCCTGGGTACAATCCTCAGTACTACAATCAAAATGGCAGGAGTGGGGGAGTATGGGTGACAATGAATATCATTTGTTGAATGCTTAACTTATAGTGGCCATTTAATAAACCATCTGTGTGTCAAGAATCGACATGTATGTATGTATGTAGATGCTACACAAAGGTAAATTTTGCTTTGGTAAAACTAAGTAGCATACTCTTTTTAAAAAGAAAAATGTCATTTGTTTTTAAGTTTTTGGCATATCCTTAACATTAACTTACATGTTCTTTGTCACAACCTGCTAGAGCTGGTGGTACTGTTTCCATCCTAGACCTGGAAGCTGGTTCTGAGTGGAGCTTATAGTCAGATTCAGGTTTGTCTTACTCCAAAGCCTGTGCCTGTGCCACTGCAGGGGTTGCTGAAGGTTCAAAGACGTCTCCCACTTTCCAGTGTACAAGTCATATACTGCCTAGTAATAAAAGGAAACCCTCAGGGAAAAGTTATACTGGATTTTCAGTTCCATTTCCTTACCTTGACAGAGTTATCTTAACTAGTAGTTTAAAATATGAAGAGCATCTAAACTTTTAAGATATGATTTTTATTAACCATATATAATCACCTTTACATTATTACAAACACTTTACAAATAAAACATTTGTTTTTGTTAAAAAAAGGAGACATTTCCTGGATTTATCATTGTATAGTTGAAACAAAGAAATATATATAAATATGAAGGTCATTCTCCAAGTATTAGAACAGAATACTGATGGAATCACTTCTCTCTATATATATTTGGAGGAGCTGTGGATCAAACCCAGGGCCTCACATGTGGTAGGCTAATGCTGTACCACTGGGCCACACCCCCAGCACCCAATAACATTTTTCATAAATATTTGCATGATTTGGAAGATTACACACACACTTCCAAAGGAGCAAATAAACACCAAGAGGAAGGTGATATCTCAAATAAGATATTTCCAAAACCAAATCTGCATTAACTTTAAATGTCTTCCCTTGCATGAAATTATCAGCAAGGGAATTTTCTGTTATATACATAAGATAACCATAAACACTTAAAAACACAGAATATAGTGTCTGTAATTGATACAATTTTTAATTTACAGACAATATATTCGGCACCATCTCTGTTGTATGGGGAGAGGTAAGCTAGACTACCCACACAACCATTTAAAATACATTGTGTATACCTTATTTTATGAAAATCAAGGGAATAAGGCCTTCATTTTCAGGGCAGTCTTAAAATAGGCTTAATACAGGAATAGTTCAACCTTTATATTTTAGATTTCATATTTTTTAACATCTTGGCTATTAACATTATGTTTTTGGTTTTTTTTTTTTGATACTGGGGATCGAACTTGGGTCCTTGCACTTGCGCAGCAGGTGGCGAAACCACTGAGCTAAATCTCCGGCCTGCCTATTAACATTATGATAGCACCTAAGCTAGCATATGAGTAGCAGTTGAACACAGTTTGAACTAACACACTTGATTATTTTCACATGACATACCGTCTAAGGGAACTGACCAGGCATGATTTCTGAACTTCCCAAATTAAAGACTTGTTAAGAAAATACAACACAACCCCATCATATAAGTCCAGCCTGTCTCTCCGGCATTTGTTATACATACAGGAAGCTTAACACATTTTAGAGTATTTCAGTGAGATATATAATAATACTGTCAGCTTTAGCTCACAAAGTGGTTTGGTTAGCATGGAAATCTGAAAGTCTGAGATTATTATGGATGTTCCTGTTTATTAAAACGTCATTGCTGCCTGAATTTGAGTATGTTTTTTGTTTTTTGTTTGGTATCAGGGATCAAACTCAGGACCTTGCACTTGCCAGGCAGGTGCAGTGCCACTGGCTACATCCCCAGCCCTTCTTTTTCTTTTTTGAGACAGCGTCTCACTATGTAGCCCAGGCTGGGCTTGAACTCATGGTGATCCTCCTGCCTCAGCCTTCTGAGGATTGTAGGAATGTACCACCATGAATGGCTGAATATGTTTTGAGTGGAAGCTAGTTGGAAATATTTTTCCATTCTAGCAACAAAGGGGTTAATGGTCAACCTCTGTGGCTCTGTGTATATCCAGAAAAAGGTAGTTTGGATGTTGTTCTGATAATTTTGTGTTAGAATGGGAAATGGAGTTTAGGATTGTTGGTCAAGACTTTAGCAGATCATGTGGTACTAATCCACATCAGTCGTTTGTATTCAGAAGCCTGCAAAAACACCACAAAGAGGGGCCAACCATTTAAGTGTAAACTGATAGCTCCGGGCCTGCCCTGCCCTTCACCTCCTATCTGGTCTCAGCCACCAAGTCATGTCACAGGAAGAGGGCCTCCTGACGGCTGTGCTTTTACCTAAGTGTTTAAGGCTCTTCCTTATCTCATCACCAACATGTAGCCTTAAACTCCCATTAGTCTGTTTCTTTAGAATAAAATTAGGAAGAGTTACATATTTACAAATTCTCCACGATGGGACCATTTACAGTCTGTATTTTCAAAAATTAATCAAGAATTTATTTTTTGAAGTCCAATTTTCTTCACTTAAAAAATCAAAAGTGGACTTGGTAATTAGTAAGCAGCTTCTTTCAATAGCTACATGGTTAAGAGATTAACAAACTAGAAAATCAGGCAGACAAATACTTTACAGGACTGGACTGAAATGTGAATGCAAAGTATCCCAGTGGAGTAACAATAAAAGGAATGCACACTTTCTCTGACTATAGAGGACACAGCTGTTCTTTTTTCTTCCTAGTCAATGTTTCCATTAAAATATTTTTTACACTTACTACTATATAGATCAAGATGTACTTGGTGGCTGCTAAAATTATGAAGGCATGACTTTTATGCTTTTCAAAAATCTCTTCACTTTTAAAAAAAATTTTGTACCACATTTCTTAAAGGAGGAGAGGGTTTTGTTGTTTTTGGCTCATGGAGGAGTTCCATACCATTTTAAATACCAAGAACTAATCTCGTATAAAGATAAAGGGCCAGGGGTAGTCAAAAGTTGGTGAAGGGGGGCACTGCCCTGAATACAGTACCTTTTATATGTCTGATGAGTGTCCTCACTGAACCTTGCCTACAATCTACTGTAGTTTTATATTTAAAAATGCAAAATCATTTGCAGAAGTCCCAATAAAAAATATAGCCTAGAAACAATATTTTGAAAATAAAAAAATGTTTTAAAAAATGTCATTGATTTCTCTAAACAATATCTTTACATTTCTGCTTAAGACTTTGATTCTTTGCATAATACAAAATGAGTGGACCAGTTCATCTGAAGACAGCATGTCTTTAGCTCTTTTCCTTGAGAAGACCAGAATGTTCAGGTACCTGTCCTTTCTTCAAAATATATCTTAAAAAGTAAAAAGCCATAAATGTGGTGGTGGACACCTGTAATCTCAGCTAGTCAGAAGGCAGGGGGAGGAGGAGGATTCTAAGTTCAGGCCAGCCTGGGCAACTCGTAAGAGTTGGACTCGAAACAAAAAATAAAAAAAGGGGTGGGGGATGTAGTTGAGTGTGAGATCCTAGGTTCAGTCTCCAGCACCACATACCTTCAAAAAGGTGTATGGAACTAAAGACTCATAAAACCCTCTCTTTTAATATTAAAAACATTCTGAAACAGGGTGCCATCTTTTTAATACAGTAGTTTCAGAATATAGTTATAAAGATAATATTGAATTGGGCTGGGGATTTAGCTCAGTGGTTCCACTGCTTGCCTGGCAAGCACAAGGTCCCTAGTTTGATCTCCAGTACAAAAAACAAAAAAGTAAGCCCTAACATGAACTATTCGAATTTTTTCAAATCCTTGCGTTTCAATATTAAAATAATTTCTATTTTAATAATTTTATTTTATCAACATGAAAATACCTACACGAAATAATTCTGTTTTAAAAGCTATATTTATGTATGTTATAGCCTACTCTTGCCTCAAAACAACCAACTTCCCACACTGTGAGAAAGAAAACAGTATCTGATCTCAGGAGGCTAAAATAGAAAACCACGAGTCCTTCTCCATCAGTAATGTCAAAGAGCCATTCCCTATCTTCTGTCCACTACCGTGTCAGAGTCAGTTTCAGTTTCAGATAAGTCTAAATTTGCATAGAGAAGGATGTTCTGTTTCTGATCATATCACAACTTCCCTCTTGTTCTAATTTGTGCTGAAACCAGCAGATCTTAATATTCAGTGAATTAAAATAGTTTGTCTGTTAGGGTGCCTTATGGTAGCCCAACATGTTGAAAATTAAACTTATTTTGAATCTCTTAGATAGTGCTAGTGGTTCTGCAGCTCATCTGATATTAATGTCAAGTAACAATATACTGTGTATTATATAATAACAGTATCACATCCATTCATTTTTCTCAGACTTAAACACACTGGTCATTTGCTTTATGACTGATACATTTAGAATTATTATTAAGCATTTTACATATTACAGTATAACATTTTCCTATACTTTATATCAATTATTGCATCAAAGGGAGTTAATAGACTTAGTACAATAGTGTAGGTACTATAGTATGGAAAGTTTCCTTCACAGGATTCACAACTGTCCTGACAAAGATTTTATAGGGTTTAAATTATACTTACCTATTATCTTTTTAATGTAAAATTAAAAATCGTAGAGTCCAAATCTGTTCAGCACTTCTGTCACAGATTTTACACTTGAATACTAAAATTATACTCAGATGTGTCTGATGCTTTTTTCCCCACTGGGGAAAGTAAAAGCAGACTTTCCACGACCGTGTCCAGTGACCCCAGGAGCAGCATGCTTCCAGGGCCTGCACTGGACGCTGCTTTGAGACCACCATGCAGACAGTTGTTCCCAGTGACCAGTGACGGGTGCTTTTGGAGAAGAAATTGGTGTCAGCTTCCCTCTTAACAGATGAACTTCACTTTTAAAAATAGGTACATTTTCTCTTAGCTGGGCGTGGTGTACACGGTAATCCCGACACTTGGGAGGCTGAGGCAGAAGGATAGCTGTGAGTTCAAAGCCAGCCTGGGCTACACAGTGAGTTCAAGGCCAGCCTGAACTGCAAAGTTAGACCCGTTTAAAAAACAAAAATCATAAAATATGTACATTTTCTCTTAAGTGCTTCACCGAAATGCCTTGATACACTAATTGCCCACACCTTAAATCCACAGGGATGCCTCCTTCACTGGCTTGACTTCTAGCGTTTGATCACAACTTGTTCATAAGCTCCAGACCCCACCCTAAAACAGCAGGGGAGAAAAAAACTTCAGAATGTTGAGTTATAGGGCTTGAAATTGTTCTAAGTAACCTGGACCTCAGAGAGATGGTGCACTAGGCATTTTTCTACAAGGTTTAAAGGTATCATGGATAGAAAATATTTGAAATAGAAAATATTTATAATACATTGGATTAGTCTAGGCCTTGATCCTATTTCCATAGTAATCTAGTAATATTTCACAGCTCTTGACCTATTAACAAATTGTAGCAAGGAATCTTCTCTTCAGATGTGTTTATGTGTAACTGTAATCAGCCTCACCCAGCAGTACATCAGGCATTAATGATGATGACAGGTTAATGATGACAACATGAGTTAATGATGACAGTCTTTGGTTATAATGGTAGAGTAGTATGTGGTATCTTAATGTATCTGTCTAGAAATTACAACCCCACTCCCATGGCCTAGAACTCCTAGACCTACGAAATTCTTCAAACTCAGCCTCCTGAGTAGCTGTGACTACAGGAACATACCATAGCACCCAGCTCTAGAATGTTTTTAGTCAATATGCAAAAGTATTTTTGCCTGTCTTATAGCACTGGGATTTGAACCTAGGGCCTTGCTCATGCTAGGCAAGCATTCTACCACTGAGTACATCTCCAACCCTTTTGAGCAGATTAGCCTCAAACTTGTGATCCTTCTGCCTCACCCTCGCAAGTAGCTGGGATTATGGGTGTGTGTTACCAGGACAGGTTGCAAATGTTTTTATATGTGCTTACTGTGGTAAATTATACCTATGCAATGTAGATTTGAAAAGGAAATGATATTGAACAAAGGATTATTTCCTCACTCATTTGGTGTGGCAGACTGTTGGTTGCTCCCCCAAATGTATTCTTCCCTTCTTCATAGTTTAGTTGAGTACAGGCTGCTTAGCTAGAGACCGCATTTCCTAAGGTACCCTGTAGATAGCTGTGGCTGTGTAACTAAGTTTTCCTTCAAGGAACATGAGTGGAAGAGATGTATGTCAGCTTGTGCCTTACTTGCTTGAAAGAAAATTGCTTGCCCAGAACTAGTAGCTAACTTTGACAAGTAAGGAGGATGGTGAAGTAGCAAAATGAGTCACTGCATTACCTTTTGGGGAAAGCTGTCTTAGCATTCAGGTCATTGTATTTTTGGGTTTCTCTGTTATGGTTGTTATCCTAACATACCAGGTACTGGTCTCTATTAATGATACATGGAGAATATTAGAAGATTTAAAACTTGCAAGCTTTCTGAATGAAGTAACTCTGAGATAGACTACTTAAGTAATGGCCTCATCAGTACAAGCTTTTTATTGTTGATATGATTGTCGAGGGCACTTAGTGTGTTGGCTCTATGTTACAACGGAATGAACACGCATCTTCCATCTATTGTTTCCCGGTCTCAGGATAAAGGTTTTCTAAAGCTTATAAAAATATACAAGGTCTTGGGCTGGGATTTAGCTTAGTGGTACAGCACCTGCTTCACAAGCACAAGGTCCTAAGTTCGATCCCTGGTACCGAAAAAAATACAAGGTCTTTTAGATGACAGCTGGCTTTGTATTTTTGAATAGGATCATTCTACCCTTCCCCTGAAGCATCTCAAGCAATGAAGAAAGCTGAAGTGATGGTGTTGCATGGAGCGGAAGGGGCTTGCTGCTTAAAGTTATCACCAGGTACAAGGTACCCATTTCCTCACTTGTCAAAATGTTGGGATCCACCCTAGTATCTGATGTTCACTCTGAGTGTGCCAGAGTTCAGTAAGCCCAGGAGCAACTTCCAGGTCTGGCCTTATCACTTAAGGGCGTGTTAAGAGGAGATTCTAAAAGTCGGTAGTAAGACAGCGGTACCAGTCTGCCATGGACTAAGCTGGACTTAGCTGACTGCTCAGAGCCAGCTCTTCTTACAGATTGAATGTACAGAAGAACATGGGAGTATCTTCAACAGAACACCAGTAACACCCACTCACAACTGCGGATAATCAGAATTTTAAAGAACCTTGGTGAGTACCAATTGCACTGGTTCTTAGATCTCCTTTGAAGTATGTTCTGCTTCTGGTCATGATGGAGTAATAGAAACTAGACTGTCCCTCCTGCCTTAAATAATGAGAATCAGAATATAGAAAATGGAGCAAACACACATCCATCAATAGGCAGCACAAGACTGTTCCCAAGAGAAAGGAAGCCAGTGAAAAAGCTCTCCCGTGGCTCCAGCTTGCTGCCTGAAGCAGTTTCCTGCAGGATCCTCCCAGCCTGAAGGGAGGGAGAACCCCAACACAGTCTGTCTCTCACATGGAGGAGCCAGAGGCCAAAGCTCAGGGGGCTAGAATTGAGGGTCAGAGTATCAGAAAATAATGGCTGGAGAATTTCCAAATTTGATGAAAAATATAAACCCACAGATCCTCAAAGCTCAATGAACTCCAAGCAGAATAAACACAAAGAGAAACATACCAAGGCCCACCAGGACCAAATTGCTAATGAGAAAATCCTAAAAGCAGCCAGAAATAAAAGACAAATAACATATAGACAAATAAAAATAGAAATGAAAGCAAATTTCTTGCCACAAAAAATTAAATGTTCCTGAAGACAAGCAAGCAGGTGCACACTGGACCTGATAAGGGATCCACTAGACTTCAGACATGTTACTGCAGATAGCCCTTCCGCACCCCTGTGGTGCCCTGCCCTGTCCATTTGCTGTCATTTTTCTGAACAGTGATTTTCTGTGCTTCTTCCATCCTTGAGTAAATGATTCTGGTTTCATCTGTGCCACTATGGTTTATTTCCCAGAGCTGTTCTAATGCTCACACGTTAGCCTCTCTGATAAGGACCCACCAGCTATTGCAAGCCTACATGTACAAGCAGCATGTTGGGCACTTCCAGTGGACTAATTTCCACAATAACTCTACAAGGTAGGTCCTTAGCTGGTGTATATAAAGTACTTGAATACTTACTGAATGTCATATATTGTTCTAAGATGTACATATCTTACCTTATTTATTTTACATCTTATAATTTTTATGAAGTAGCTTCCTTCCACTAATACTACTCAATGGTGAGGAAACTGAGGCAGAGAAGACACAGCTAATAAGTACTGTTAAGAACCCAAGTAACCTAATCCCAGAGCCTGTGTTGTTAACTCTGATGATGAGGTTTTTATTTTGTTAGCAAGTAAGAGATGTGATTTGCCTAGATCATCACTAATGATAGCTAAACCAGAAATTAAACTATATCTAGCTCTTTGGCCTATTCTCTGGCCTGTTCTCTTTTTCATATTCTTTCTGACTTTTCTTGGCTTTTCGGTGGCATTTAATAATGAATCTTTATCTACTTCAACCCCTAATGAACAATTAAAGACTTTCTCATTCTGGATAATCTGTTCTGGTTCTGGTTTGGTTCCGGTTCTGTTCTCCTCTACTCTATCTATGCAGTGCTGGGGACTGAATCCAGGGCCTTGCATATGCTAGCTAGGCAAGCACTCTACCAATACACCCCTCATTCCAGATGATTATTCTAGCATTCTTCTGGAAAGCGGGTGGCAACCAGTTATTTCCTTTACTATATAAATGCCTTTATGTTCTAAGTTCTAGATGATAGATCTTTCAACTGGAAGTAATCTTTCTTTCCTCTAAATAACAACATAATAAAGAGTACATGCTCAGAGTTTTCTATGTGCAGGCATTGTGTTAAATACTTTTTGTAAGTCATATGATGTAATCCTCATAAAAAACCCATGAGTTAGGTAACTTATTTGTCACTCTCATTTTACAGGTGAGGAAACTTACAGAGGATAATTACATCAGTAAATAGTGGAAGAGTCAGAATTTGACCCCAGGTAGTCTGATGAGATGGTTCATCCTTTGATCATTTACTGTTTAAATTCCTTATGGTTGGAATCATATTTCTTCTACCTGGTTCTCTGTTATTGGCCTCTCTTTCCTCTAATCAAACTATGACTACCTTTCTAAAATGCTGACCTGATAAGTCATTTCCCTGAAAGAATAACCACTGCCTCCCACTGTACATGTGAGAAAAGAAGAGCTGTAATGTTGACCGAGGCCCTTTACAACTGGGCTCAAGATACCTGCCAACCTCATGTCCCAAAACTCCCTTTCACGTGTCCCTCTCCTCAAAAGAACCTGTTTACTAGCAATTAAATGAGTAGGTTATGTAATATTATTCATAAGTCGCTATCACATAATGGATAAGTGCAATGGGCTTTGCATTCAAAGACTTGAGTGTGAAGCTTACTTTCACCACTTACCAATTTTAAGATCTTGGGGCAAATCATCTCTACTTCTTTGTATCTTTGTTTCTACTTTTTAAATACTAACTATAGTGTGTTGTGAGCATTGAAAGAGATACTATAAGAAGTAAATACAATGCATATATGTACCTGTGTCTGGCACATGACTAATAAGTGCTCAACGGTGCCTATAATTATTATTATATAATTATAATAACTGTATATTCATTCTATTTGCTCCTATTACCAGGAGTATCTGTCTTCCCCGTAACTGCCTTATAACCCTACTTATCTTTAATTCTCCCAAAGATTCTTCAAGAATCAGCTCTTCCTGGAAGTTTTCTCTGAGTATGGTCCTGCTGCTAGTCTCTCAGAATTGCTTCTATTTCTATGCATTATAGTTCTTACATTATTACAGTTTTTAGTTTGTCTAGCTCAACTGCTGGAAAGTGTCAGATAGTAAATATTTTAGGTTTTGTGGGCCATATAATCTTTGCTATTCTACTCAACCGTACTGTTACAGCATCAAAATAGCCACAGACAGTATACAAGTAACCAGGTATAGGCATTTCCAATGACACTTGCTTTATAAAAATAGGCAGTGGCAAACTAACCCACTGGCTGTAGTCTACCAGTCCCCAGGGCTAGACCAGTGGTGGCAAACCTATGGCATGCAGCACCCTCTCTATTGGCATGTGAGCCAAGTGCATGGGCTGTTTTTTTTCTGAACTAAAACCTCAGTATGTGTACAGGTTTAACTGTAGTGTTGGTACTTTGTGCTAAGTGGGTTTGGGTTGCAGTTTGGGTACTCAGTCTCTAAAACACTGGCCATCACTGGCTAAGACCATTAGCTAGCTGGAGGCGAGTCTTTCTTCTGTGTCTCCTTACTTACAAGTTGGCTCAATAAATAGTTATTGAATTTAATGAGTAGATAGGTTAATGAATGTTAATGAATGGTTTAAATTGTGTTATATCCTCTATAAACCCCTTTTTCAAATTCCTCCCTCATGGTGTCTTTGTATGTCCTTTTTTTTTTTTTTTAACCTACCTATCTTATTGGACTGTAGTTAGTTGTTGATGGAGGCATTTGTCGTCAGACTCTATTTTGTATCTTTTGGGTCCTGCAATGTGCTGGACATGGAGGAAATTCTCATTAAAGTGACTGTTTTTTCTCAGGGATTGAACTCAGGACCTTGCACTTGCGTGGCAGGCACTGTGCCAGTGAGCTAAATCCTCAGCCCTAAAATGAATACTGATAGAATAAATGAATTTAAATTTATTTCCAGTTTTAAGCGTAAGAGAATAAAATAATTGTCTTGGCCCAGGGGGCTCCCCCATGTCTGCAACTCGAACTTACTCTGTAGTTATGTGGGGGCTCTTCACAAACACAATATAGAAATAGTACCAGGGGTGATGGAAGCAAGGGAGCAATCAGAATTCCTGGGCTATCATCTGTATTCATGTTTACCACTCTGCTGACATCAGGGTGCACTGTAAATCTGAAATCCTTCAAAATCTGAAACTTTTTGAGGGTTTGCATGATGCTAAAAAATTTCAGAGCATTTCAGATTTTAGGTTTTCAGATTTGGGATGCTCGACTGGCAAAAATGCAAATATTCAAAAATCTCTGCAATCTAAAACACTCCTGGTCCAAGCACTTTGGACAAGGGGCACCCAACCTGTACCGAGAATCAAGGTGGTAAGTCTGGCTGGTGATTTTCCTTCTGAATTTGAGTAATTCCCAAAATGATGCTTGGTGTTTAGGACTTTTCTTGGTAGGTATGTTAGATTCCATGGTGTGGAGAAAAGGAGAATGCAAGAAAGGTTAATTATTAGTTTATGCTGCGGAGTAGGTACAGAATGCTCATTAACACTTAAGACTACTGATTGAAAATGTAATTTGGGGGCTGGGTATGCAGGTCAGTGGTAGAGCACCTGCCAAGCATACAAGAGGCCCTGGGTTCAATCCCCAGTACTGCAAAACAAACAAACAAACAAAAAGATGAAAATGTAATTCTGTTTTGCTGTATCTAAAATATTAGACTAAGACTCTTTTGTAAATATCCATTTTATATCACAAGCTGTCCAGTGCTTTACTAGTCCTTTACCAATATAGTCTAAAAATACATCTAAGGAAATTAGCAAATTTATATAATGCGAAAGAAACACTCAAAATAAGGAAAAGTGAGAGCCAAACTAAGAACTGTTAATTCTCCTCATGTAACTACTGATATTTGTGTTTTCCAGCTTTAGTCTAATAAAGGCTTTACAATCTTTGGCCTCTACTCATGAAATTTTTTTAAACAGTCCATCTGACTTTTAATAAGGTACCATTTAGATTACATACCTATTTGGAAGATGATGACTGCCAAAGGTGGTGCTTCCCCCAGGACCCACAAATAACCTCAGTCCTTCTTCTGCAATATAGATGTAAAATGTTTGTTGTATGTACAACCATTAGACTGCAGTCACCTAATTCATACTGTAGTAATTCATATTTCACATTTCAGTTTGTTTAACTAAAAGCCAGGCAATTTAAAAGCCGTACTAACAATTATTTCTTATCAGCTTTCCTAAAGTTCTTTTTCTTTAAACTGAGTTTTGAAAACAGCCCTTCCTACAAATTTTCATTTCCATTGTTAAGTACTCTGTTTTCACACTAGCATGTGTAATGGTACTTTTCAAACTGGTAGCACATAAATTTTCATTTCAGGGAGAATGTGAAGGAGAGCCTGAAGGATTTTGTTATTCACTGTTGTTTTAAGACCATGATCTCAACCCTCCATATTATAACAGAGACTTAAAGCATTATGGCAGACAGAGATGCAGATATTAAGGGCATGAATGTGGGAGGCCTTGAACCATAATTTAAAGGTAAAGTTTTCTTTACAATTGATCTTTCTTTTTAGGGAGTGCTAGGGATTGGATCCAGGGCTTTACATGTGCTAAGCACTTGCTCTACCACTGAACTACATTCCCTAAAATTGATCATTTTTAACTAATGTTTGTTCATTTTCCAAATTCAATATTCATTCTCCGAAATAAGCTACCAAGTTATCTTGAGATTTTTACAGGCATGAAATTTAGTTTACAAATATGCAGTAGTAGCATGATGTACTGCCTCCTTTCTGCTAACTATATGGACTAGACAGACCTGGACTTCAGAAATCTCTGCTTGACAGTTCTCTACGCACCTTCCGCACTGGAGTCTAGGGTGAAGTCTTGACTTTGTAATATTTTCTCCACAATATCATCTGCATCCACTCTGGTGTCATCAACTCGCTTCAGCTGAGATTCTACAGAATTCTGTTTCACTGGGCATCTTTGAAAACAATCACAGTTTTTTCCTTCTTCTTATTATGGTATGAAAACAAAAAAAATTAAATTTAAATTTATCCTTTAAACTAAAAGGATACCTGTTGAGTTTTTCAGAGGCTGCATCTTCCTTATCAGCAGTATCAAGATTTGGTTCAGGTATTTTTTGCTCCATTTCATCACAAGGCTCTAGAATACTTTCAATTCCTGTTGATGTACTCCCCACTGAGGTATTTCTCCTGTGGCAGAACTCAGAGAAACTAGATGACCGGGAATGACACGAGCTATAGCCTGTCAGAGAGAAATCACTGTGGATATACTAATATCAGACACACTGCGATCTAAAGTCCTTCTATACCACAGCAGTTTCAAAATCCCTTGGAACAATAAGGAATTCAATTTCACTATTAACCTCTACCTGATACTTTCGACTGCTGGCTTGCATAGCTTGATGTTCTGGAATGTCCATAGGCACCCAATTCATCGGGAACAGAGGTACTCTTTGCTGAAAGATCTGCAATATGTTGTAATATGGTATTACTATTATTACAAATAAGTTAATGATCAATTTGTATTATAATCTGCATTTGTAAACTATGTCAAGTTCATTATCAAGAAAAATAAGTTAGAAAGTGACATAGATCCCTCTAAATCAGTAGAAGGGAAAAATGCATTGAAAGAAATAAAAAATACTTAAATATCTTTTTTTTTGGTGTGTGTATGTGGCATTGGGGACTTTGGACTGAGCTATACCCTCACCCCTTTTTAAACTTTTTATGTTGTGACTTAGTAACTCATTAAGTTACTAAGTTACCCAGGATTGGTTTCAACTCACAATCTTCCTGCCTCAGCCTCCCAGGGTTCTGGGTTTGCAGGTGTGCACCACTGCACCCAGCTAAAAAGAAAATATTTAAATATCTCAGTTCACCAAAGAATTACAAGTATTTTTATAACATTGAGCAGCACTCTATCTTAAAATTAGTACTGTTTTTGTGTTTAGCACTTCTTAAATAAAAACAAGCCAGGTTTTTTCTTACACATTCTCACAAAATTGCAAGATTTCACTAGTTTTTGAATAAATCTTGCTTTCTCCAAAATCAAACACAGCAGTAAACTAAAGAACACTTTATTATTTTAGTGTTACTGTTGCTAGTGCTAGGCTGTAATTTGGGCAATGCCTGTGGCTTAAATCAACACAGCATGGAATGTAGCACTAAGGAGACATTTCTTTAGAGACTGATTATAGTACTCAGCTTTATCAGTTTGTAAATCTGTAAAATAGCATTGCTGAAGCCACTTCTGGTACTGTAGTTCCCTGATCATATGCATATTCCAGATACCAATGATTTATTTCCAGCTTCTTAGGCAGAATGCAAAACTGTTTTCATTAGGGTGAAACCCGAACTGTTTTTACCTTAGAAACAGGACAGTAATTGGGTAATATAATTATTATAGCAGCAGTTCAGAAAATGATATTGTACACAGTTGGACCAACAAATGCTGCCTAATAATCTCTCTCTCTCTGTCTCTCTCTCTGTCTCTCTCTCTGTCTCTCTCTCTCTCTCTCTGATAACAAGCACGAGCCTGCTGGAATCTATGAGATAGCAGTAAAGAAAGATGCAGTTAGTGGGTATTTATTTTTTCAATATTAGAAAGAATTCAGGATATTTAAGTGTTGAGGGGGAAGAAGGTAATAAAAAGGTTACAAATACACAAAGGACTTGCACATCTTAAATCAGGATTTCACAGCCATCATTATCTGTAAGAAACTATATCACGGCATATTTGAAAAGGTAGTAAGAATGTTAATCCCAACTCTTCACCTTTCTTTCTATCCTTTCAAATAATACATCCTGCTCACATAACTTGGGAGATAGAAAGAAGCTCTTCTGTCTTTTTCTCCTCCAGTCAACCTGACATTTTGCATACTTTTTTTGTTTGTTTGTTTTGTTTCTTTTTTTTAGTAGAGTCTCACTATGTTCCCCAGGCAGGCCCCAAACTCCTGGTGTCAAGCAATCCTCCTGCCTCAGATGGGGCTTACAGGCATGTACCACCGGGCTGGCTGGCCTTTAACTTCTAGAAGAGACTCTGATTTGCTGAAAGTGTGCCTGGAAAAAATGCATCTCCTTGTTTGTAGTACATGGCTTCAGTCACCAACCCTGATCTACTGAGTCCAAAGCCCTGGCTGTTGGCGCTAGCAGTCTGTTTTAACAAGCCCTCTGGGTGACTTGGGTGTACATCAGGGCTTGAGAATCATAGACAGAGGGAAAGTGACTTCTGGCACAGAAGCAGTGTTTGAGAGGTTGCTGGCACAAGTTGTTGGGCATGCAGAATGGGAAAAATCCTGAAGTCTCCTGTTCTGACTGTGGGGAGCAGATGCATTCAATGGAGTGTGTAGGAGTAGGGTTTATTGCAACATTCACGTATCAATCTGTGACAGCACATCACCTTAGACAAAACAAAGTATATTGGCTTAACCATAATTAAAACTGCTGATACTTATTGGCCCATTTCAAGCCACATGCCCATAAAATTTTAAATCTGCAAGTTCTTTGGGGGATCTTTAAGGAGAGCAAGTAGTTCTGTTTCTCAGAAATTGCAAAAAACCAGTAAGCTACAAATTCACACCTGCTATTCCAAGGTGGACTTTGAGGGTCTCTCCACCTTTTCTGTCTTCTTCCAGAGACTCAGATTCACCGGCAATTGGTATAGACATTGATGTAGAAGGAGGCCTGTAAATAAACATTTCTACGAATCAGAGCCAGAATCATGGGTGAGCTGAAAGTTGGAAAAAATGTTAGAGATTGGTTGTATAGTCAGAATATAGCCTTTGTAAGCTGCAGTTTTCAGGCATGCTGGGCAGGCAGTCTACCACTGAGCAACATCCCTGGCCCACTGTCAGCCTTCTGAAGGTGAAAGTAATAAGCATCAACAAACAACGTAGTCTGATATTCTCAGACAGAGTTGTGCCTCCTTCAGCTTTTCTTCCTCTCAAGCCAAAGTCCTTTCCCCATTCTCTTTTCCTTCTCAGTTAAAATTTTTGCCTCTAGGTGTGTGTTGTTGCCTCAGTTTTAATTTTTATGATCACTAAAGCAAGTTCCCACATAGGCAACTCAGATGGGATGTGTGGAATGAACCTAGGACAAGACCCACCGGACCCGAGACCTCCAGACATGAACCCTGTCAGTACTGAGCAGCTGCCCGGTCTTCCCTCCTCCGAGCAGTGGTGACTGGGGTGATTTCTAGAGAGCAGACACTGGCCAACCATGTCTCCAAAAGCACAGTATGGAAATTTCTAGCCCATGCTCTGGACTTGCCCACAGACTATGCAAGTGGCAGATTCAGTGGACAGTCTGGATTCTCCAGGCTCATCATCCCAGGTACAGAAGAGCTTACCTTAGTAGGTGGGATTTAATTCAGTCACTGGCTGACCCACCCAAATTCTCATCCATAACCACAGAGGGGTAGAGCTCAGACTCCACATTATATTCTCCCCCACTAAGCGTTGTTTCATAGGACTTGCTAAATTAGTGTTTCTGTTAGTTCATTAACTATGTGCAATTTCCTTGTATCTTTTCTCTCTTTCCATGTATATTCCCTCCCCATCTCTTCTTTCCTTCCCCTCTCACATCCTCTCAAATCTTCCCTCTTCCCCCTGTTTTTCTTGTATATAAATACTATCATTAAAACCTATTTTCTTGCCAGGTGTGATGGCATACACCTGTAATCCCAGCACTCGGGAGGCTGAGGCAGGAGGATTGCCATGAGTTCAAGGCCAGCCTGGGCTACATAGTGAGTTCAGGACAAGTCTGAACTACAAGTGAGACCTTGTCTCAAAATCCTCCCCCAAAAAGCAAAAAAAAAACACCCCACAAAAAACCCATTTTATGGTTTGTATGTGTGGGGCATGTTTGTATATGCAATGGTGTGTAAGTGTTAACTGTTGCTTTCGATTCTATAGTGTCTTATCTTGGTTTGTCAGGTTCTCCCTCACCAAAGGTTGTTTCTTGGGTCATCTGTGTTTCTGCTAGTTTATTTATTGGATCCAATCTCCACATATCATTATCTCACTTTCCATTTATATACTTTCTGCTTTGCTTCGCTTGCCTGCTTTCTTTTTTCTTTTTCCTTCCTTCCTTCTTTCCTTCCTTCCTTTCTTCTTTCGCCTCATACAATCTCTGAAACCTCTCTCCCTTATCATTTCCATGGAAAAAACCAATATTTCAGAACTTACCTTTTCTTTCATTTTCTTAATATTTTTTGTTTTTTCTTCTGTTTCTTAGCCTATCCTTTATTATTACTATTCCTTTGTCTTCCTGGGTTTTTGAAAGGGTTGAGAATTTTAAAAACAAATTTTAAATTATATGTTGGTATACGGTTGGCTCTTTGGATATTGACAGTACTGGTAGTTGTTCTTACCTCGCAACACTGTGCTAGGGATTTAATCTAGTACTTTGAATAGGTTGAGTGGGTGCCTTCAAGCTGAATCACACTCAAAGCATCACAAGGAGAAGTCCACTTGCTAAATATATCTCCACAATTCCTCAGAATTTTTTTTATCCTAACTGATCTACAAACTTAAACACAAGAATCATGAAAAAAACAAGGCAACAACATGCCTCCAAAAATTTATAACTCCCTAAATTCTGTTCTTACAGATACTGACATGGATGAAATATCAAAGAATCAAAAAACCCAATAGTTAAAATGATTAAAGAGATCAAAAAAGACAACTGTAAGCAGATGAATGAATCAATTACTAAGATGATCAATGAGCTCAAAGAAGAATCAAAGAATCAGTTGAATGAATTAAGGAAGACAATGCTGGATATGAAAGACCACTTCAGGAAAGAGAGAAGCTATAAAAAGGAATCAAACAAAAATTCTGGAAATAAAAAAGACAACTGGAAATTTCAGCAGTAGGCGAGATCAGTCAGAAGAAAGGATATCAGGACTTGAAGACAAGGTGGATGTAGTCAGTCATAATGAAAAAACAAGAGACAATCAAAAGATTATCCAAGACTCCTATATGATTCTGCAGAACAAATTTTAGGATCACTGAATTTGATGAAGGGGATGATACTGAGGCTAACACACAGAAAATTTATTCAGTGAAATTACTGCAGAAAATTCTGCAAAGGCAAGTAAGGAGATAGATACTCGGGAAAAGTGGGCATTTAGAACCCCAAATACAACCAGAAAAGAACCTTTCCACAACGCATCACAGTCAAAATGCCAGAAACTCAGAATAAAGAGAGAACTCTAAAAGCTGTTAGAAGTGCCATGTAATCTATAAGGGTGAACTTATCAGAAAAACAGCAGATTTCTCAACACAAACCTTAAAGGCCAGGAGGGCATGGAGTAAAACATTTCAAGTCCTGAAAGAAAATAATTGCCAGACCAGATTACTATATTCTGTAGTTATTCTTCATATCCATCGAGAGAGAGAGAGAGAGAGAGAGAGAGGATGTCCTATAAGGATGAACTAAAGAAACTCATGACCACCATGCCAGTACTGCAGAACATACTTAAGGGAATTCTAAACAGAGACAAGGAAGACAACAATATCCACAAAGCCAAAGGAAAGAATAAATCTCCTTGGGAGAGTAAACAAATGGAAAACAAAGCAATCAAGCACTGGAAAAACAATATAATGACAGGAATCAGCACATACCTTTCAATATAACACTTAATGCAAATAGCCTTAATGCTCTAGTCAAGACACAGAATGGCAGACTGGGTCAAAAACCAAGACCAAACTCTACATTGTCTGCGAGAGAAACATCTCCACCAAGACACACACAGACTGAAAGTAAAAGCATGTTAAAAGATACTCCAAGCAACTGGAGCCTGAAAGCAAGTAGGAGGGGTTTTTTTGGTACTGAGGATCGAACTCAGGACCTCACGCTTGCCAGGCACTCATTGTGCTGCTCAGCTACATTCCTAGCCCCAGAAGTAGCTATTGTAATTTTTGACAAAGCTGACTTCAAACCAAAACTGGTCAGAAGAGACAAAGAAGTTCACTACATACTGGTGAAGGAAACAATTCACCAAGAAGAAATTACATTTGTAAATGTATATGCACCAAACATTTGCATGCCAAATTTTATAAAACAAACTACTTGATATAAAAGGACAGACTGACCCCAATGCTACCACAGTGGGGGACTTTAATACCCTATTCTCACAGACAGGTCACCCAGACAAAAAAATCAACAAAGAAATACCAGAGCTAGAGTTTACACCATACAGCAAATGGCTTTAACATGTATCTATAGAATGTTTCATCCAGCAACAGCAGAATAGATTCTTTTTAGTAGCCACAGATTTCTTCAAGACACACCATATTTAGGCCACAAAGTATGTTTCAATAAATACAAAACAACTAAAATAATCTCATGCATCCTATCAGATTACAATGGAATGAAACTAGAAATCAATGGCAAAAAAAATCACAAAAACTATACAAATGCACAGAGATTGAATAATAAACTGTTGAATGACTAATGGGTCACAGAAGAAATCAGTGAAGAAATTTAAACATTCCTAGAATCAAATAACAATGGAAATACAACATATCAGGTTCTGGAGGATACAGTGAAAGCAGTGCTAAGAGGAAAGTTTATAGCTATGAGTGCCGACATTAGAAAACAGAGCAATCCTAAATAAATAACCTAATGATACATCTCAAAGTCTGAGAAAAATAAGAACAACCAAAACCCCAAACTAGTAGAAGGAAAGAAATTATAAAGATCAGGGTGGAAATTAGTAAAAGTGACTATAAAAAATAAAAAGGTTCAATTAATCAAAGAGTTAGTTATTTGAAAAGATTAGAAAAGATTGATAAACCCTTAGCCAAACTTACCTAGGAGAAAAAGAAGACTCACATGAATAAAATTAGAAATTAAAAAGCAGAAATTACAACAGACACACCAGAGATCTAGAGAATTATTAGAAACATATTCCAATAAATTGGAGAATCTAGAAGAAATGGATAAATTCCTAGACACATATGACTTAAGAAAATCAAACCACTAAGATATAAAAAATCCCGAACAGACCAGTAACAAGCAATGACATTGATGCAGTCATAAAAACTTTACCAAGCAAGACAAACCCAGGACCTAATGGATTTACCCCTAAATTTTGCTAGGGACCAAGGTTGGTAGGTGATAGTCATGTTGACAGGAACTTAACCCGACTGTAATGTGCTATGTATAATCCATAATTGTATGTATTATATAATATTAGGTTAATTTGGCTTTAACTTCTTCATATAGTGGTTAGAGTAGAACACTAATACTCCTTAAACTATTCCATATAATTGAAAGGGAAGGAATGGTTCTCAACTCATTCCATGAAGCCAGCATTACCCTGATACCAAAACAGAAGGACTCACCAAAAAAAGAAAATTATAGACCAATATCCTTGATGAAAAGAAATGCAAAAATCTTCAATAAGATACTTTCAAACAGAATTCAACAACTCATTAAAAAGATCATAAACTGTGACTAAATTGGCTTTATTCCAGAGATGCAAAGATCATTCAACATATGTAAATCAAATATAATAAAACACATACACAGAATCAAGGATAAAAATCACATATCACTCATAATAGCTAATTCTTGGAAATGGCCTATATGTCCATCAACAGATGAATGGATAAAGAAAATGTGACATTTATATACAATGGAGTACTACCATGCATAAAGAATGAAAGCATGTCATTTGCAGGAAAACTGATGGAATATGAGAACATAATGTTAAGAGAAATAAGTCAGACATAAAAAGTTAAATATCATATGGTTTTCTCTCACATGAGAAGCCTGAAATATACATAAATAAACAAAATAAAATAGAGATGGTATAAAATAAGAAGGCAGACTTTTGGAGATAGGGAAGGGTATTGGGGGAGGGGGAGTTAAGGGAGAGAGGATAAGAGGATGAAAAATAATCAAGATATGTTACTTGCATGTGCCAATTCACCAAAATGAACATCACTATTCTGTATCACAAAAATACACTAATAAAAGGAAAAAAAGCCACAAGTAAAGGAAAAGCATCTTTTAAAAGCATGAATAAAATTCATAGAGAAAAACGATTTTTTTATATAACATGATGGTGAGAAGAGAAAGGGCACTGCCCAGCCATGGAATCCTTGAAAGGAGGGAACTCCCTGAGTGTACCCAGCACTGACAGTGAAGGGGGCTTCAATTGTCAGCTGAATGTGGACCACTGGGAGGAATCTCTGACTGGGGAAGGAGCTCCCAAGCCTCTTTGTACCTGAGGTGAGAAGAACACCTTGTGCCACCTGTCCACTAAATTCTTATATAATATCCATGGTTTAATGTACACTGTTCTGAGTAAACAATTCACCTGCTTCAGGGAGAGTCTATAGAGAGACCCGGGAGTTTAGATTGCTTTTTGGGCCGGGTTCTCTGGGAGTAGGCGATGAGTCTATTTTCATGGCTAATTCAAAGCTCCCGTTCCATATGGAAGCTGTGGAATAAAGAGGGGAAGGTTTGAGTTCTAACAATTATTTTTTAAATACAGGACTATTTTATTATAAAACAGCCATAGCTTTTTTTTTGTTTGGTTTTTTTTGGTACTGGGGATCGAACTCAGGAACTTGTGCTTATGAGGCAGGCGGCGAAACCACTGACCTAAATCCCCGGCCCCATCTACAGCTTTTTAAGTTTGATATTCTAGAGAAAATTGCAACTTCCTAGAAACTACCACTTGGTGACCCTGAGATAATAAAATTAGAAGGTGACTGAAGGGACGATGCAGCTGACTTATCTCATGGCAATTAAGTTTTTACTATATTGTCTCAATGGCTTCCTCAGGCTATTCAGGTTCTTGGGTACATATTTAAGATTGTCATCATAGAGGGAGGCTGAATTTGATCTGTGTATGGTGCAATCATGTACTGAAATATCACACTGAAACCCACTAATATAATTATACAATATATATATAATTAATACATGTTAACAAATATTTAAAAAATAAATATTGCCATCAAATCTATTTAACTTATAGACTATTTCCACCATAGAATCTCCTAAATTTCAGATTTACATATCTTTTCAGGAGATTTTCCAGTATTTTTCTTGGGAGTACATAAAACTCTATATATCCCCAAAACCAAAATCTTTTTTCCCAAAACCTGTTTTTTTCTTATATTCTCTACCTCTGTGAATGCCATCACAATCCACAAAGTCACCAGAACTAGAGTCCCAGATATAGCTTCCATCTCCTTCCTACTCAAATGTCCCTATATCTAATCATTTCCAAATCCCACATTCTCTTTTTTATGTTTTCTGCTTGTCATCTCTTTTCCACCCACCCACTAACTAAGTTCTGGGCTTTCTCCTGGGTGACTTTGAGAGTCTCCTTGCTGGCCTGCCAACCTCTACTTCATGCTACTGTTATTGGGTTTTCTGAAATGTGCCTCATACATGTGACTTTTTGTTTTAAAACTCTTCTGTAGCTCCTTTGGGATAAAGTTCAAGTTTGTGAGGATGGCATAAAAGGCCCTTTGAAGTCTGATCTCTTCAGCTAACAACAGTTATATTTTATTAAATAATGTAAAAGAGCTGGGTGAATGAAAGGCCTTTGCATTAAACCTATCATGGGGAAAACTACTATGTAAAAGATGCACACAAAGAACAGAGTTGTAGTCATTAATCACTGATGGCTGACTCATGCCTGTATGCCTCAATTTGTACCTTTTTAGTGCCAGGTCCTTTGACGTTCCTTTCATAGGTGGCCTAATTATAGGTCTCCATCTCTCTACCTTTCTGATCATGTTTTCCAATCCTTCAGAACTCCCAGCCTTTGGCCTCTTCTCTCTCCATCTGTCTCCCTCTGGTTCTACTCTTCCCATCAACTCTCTGCCCTCTGCTGGCTTCACAGCCACAACACTTCAGGTTTGGTACTCCTTGTTCTACTGCCTCAAAAAACATCATGGACTCCAACTCTTGACAGTGTCAGCCATTCATACTAACTGCTCTAAGACTGGGGCAACTATGTATTATGGAGAGAATTCACTGACCATGAGGACTGGTAGTACAGCAAATTCAGAATTAAACTCTTAGCTGGGCCTTAGCAGTTCTCTTGTCTCTCTATACAACCCAGTTGAATAAAAATCACTGAGTGCACATCATGTGCCAGTTTCTGTTCTATTTTTTGTTCTGAAAAATGTTTTTATACACCTTATGAGAAATCCCTTAATATAGCTCAATTATAGAAAAGAGATAGGATTATTTTAATTTTAGAGAAATGTTAAGATTATGTTCAAAGAAGGGCTGGAAAAGGAGCTCAGCAGCATAGCACTAAACTACCATGAATGAGGACCGAGTTCAATCCTCAGCACTGTAAAAGATTATGTTTTCTTTTGGTACCAGGGATCAAACTCAGGACCTTGCGCTTGCAAGGCAGGCGCCCGAACCACTGAGCTAAATCCCCGGCCCAAAAAATTATGTTTAAGAAGGCTGGAAATGTAGCTCAGGGTAGAGAAAAATGACCACCTAAAATGATAACACTTTCTACTAGACAGTTCATAAATATCCTATGAGCTATAACAGTGTCATGAGCTTTTGCAAACCGTTTTCTCTTCCTAGAATGTCTCTACCCACTCCTGTGCTTAGTAAATTCCTATTTATCCAGCCAGAGCAGGAGCTGGTCTTATTTAGCTGGGCTGGATAAATATTAGCACATAGCAGCAAATCAATATGTAAGCACTTGAATATATGTGTGAATCTTGGGACTCTAGACAAATTAGTTGCTTACTCTGAGCTTCCATATCCTTTCTCAAAGGTATGGGTGATACGTCATAGAGATGTTTCAAGAATTAAATTGAGAGACAGTAACATTTATGAAATCATTTTGGTAAGTGCTAATTTGTTTCCTTTAGAACATGAATGTTCCAGAACTTTGCTATTTAAGAGAATTACATCATCCCTGGATTTTCTTTTCACCAGATTATACAACTATAGTATACAGTTTCTCTTTCAAAATATTCTTTTTCTTCATCAGCACTTATCAGATCAGTTTCATCCTTTTACAAGAGCTGGTGGGTAGTTGATAAATTGTAAACTACAAAACTCATTTTAGTGTTTGGGGGAGGTGGCTAAGCTGGCTTACTAGCTGTCTTTTTTATAAATACTGGCCTTATAGTATAAAACTGGGGTTTCAAAAAAATTATATAATCTATATAATAGATTTTCTGCTCATAAAATGTTAAAACTAGAATTTAAATTGGAGAATGCTAAAGATATGCTGTATTTGTGTGTGTGTGTGTGTGTGTGTGTGTGTGTGGTTCTATGGATTAAACCTAGAGCCTTATGCATGCTAGGCAGGCTACCACTGACCTACACTCCAGCTGTACTGTACTCTTTATTAGTTTCTCTGATTTTGCATCACGAAAAATTTGAAAATTGGCAAAAGCAGTTAAGAATCATAGAATGAACTCCTCCAGCAGTTATTTAGATCTTTGTGCTACACAGAGATACTGGGTCAAGTCACTCAATTCCTTTGTGTCTTAGATTTCTCATCTGTGGAACAAGAAGTTGGATTACACCAATACTTAAAAAATATAAATATATGTATATTTAATGTATATGTATATAAATGTGTATATTTAAAATAGGCTTTTAGCCAAAGCCTAAAAGTATATTTTAAATATATAAGTAATTTAGAGTGTGAAGAGGTCACTTGGTAACAGGGAACAGTAACTTTTATGAGGGTCAGGTAAGTCTCCCAGGAAGGATCTACTTGCCTGAAAAAACTATAAAATATTAACAAACATTTAAACAAATCTGTTATACTTTCAGATAAGTGTATTTACTGAGCATCAACTTACGTTTTAAAACATGGGTCACCAGACATCAGTTGCATACTGATCAAAACCTAGACATAAGAAAAAGAAATATTATTATTAAAGATTTTTTGAGACTGGAAGCCTTGTTCTGTGAAGCTATGCTTCCCAAACAGTATGTAGTCCAGTATTTTCTATTTTGAAAACATTAAATAAAATGATTGTTGAACTGAGTTATATCCATATCAAATGATTTCTTTATAAAGAATTAGATTAAAATCATTTTTAACATTCAAAATCTTGTAATTTCAAAAATCAAGAGTGGAAGAGATGAGAACAAAAACCCAGTGCTTCCCCAGTAATGATCCCTCTTGGATGTGCACAGCCGCACTGATCTGGTTTTTGTGTCTTTACTCCCAGATTCCTGTGGTGTTGAAGTATCTGGTAACGTTTCCCTCAATCTGCTACATGTTAATATTTCACTGGAAAAGCTGGTGGCTTCTACGAGTACAAAGTTTCTGGCCTTTGTTCCAGCTTTAGATCTTTTAAGCTTCTTCTAATTCCTTTTGAAATGCTGGTCTCTGGTAGCTGACTACCTTTAAGAATTAGCCTCTGCTAATTATCTCTCACTCTAATGAATCATTTCACATTCTTATGGTAATAACAACAATAACAACAACAACATTAACAAAGCTCATGACTGGATAATTTATAATGTGCTAGGAATGAACAAAATGTTCTACATGCATCACTTCATTTAATCTTCAATACTCCTAAGAATAGGAGAGTGATACTCTCATTTTAAACCCAGAGAGATTAAATGATATTTTCAAGATGAGGGAGCTAGCAAAGGGCAATGATGAGATCTGAGAAAAGGACTACACGTACCAAACTTTGTGGTCTCGACGAATAACAGATATGTATATATTACTGTTTTCCAGCTAAAAGCTGCCACATATCTTCTGTAACTTTATTTCATTCGGATTTCCTCATCCCAGTGCTTCCACAACTATCCTTTCTCTTTAAATGCCAAACATCGGCTAGACTGGTTTTCTCATGACCTCTTCTTTCCTAGAACCCTACAATCTGGTTTCCAATTCCATCAAGATTGCACACTTGAATATTCTGAATGTCTCAGGAAGGAGATGGAGATCACACGCACACACAAACACACACACACATGCACACCTACCTTTTAAGGAACTGTGTAATGTAGTAGAATACAGAAGTAAGACCACGGTTGGAAGAGATGAGAAACTGGTTTTGTAAAAATAGGCAGGGTGGTGGTGGACTTGGCTAGCATGCATAAGACCCTCAGTTCAATCCTCAGTACTACAAAAAGTGAGCGGGGTGAGGGTGGGGGAGGAATACTAGAGCTGTTTGTATGTTTATAAGGAAGGTTCATTAGAGAGAGAGAGAGATGATTAGGAGAGGGGACAATCTAAGGAGAAACACCCTTGATTAGGCAAATTTTGGATTCTGAAGCACAAAAGAAAGGCCATTTGGCTTCTGACAGGAAGAGGGACATTTCATCCACTGCAACAGGAGGCAAAAGGATAGTAAGGCTGGAGAGATAGGAAGAATTGTAAATTTTGTGATGGGAAGATAGGGGATTTGAGTTTAAAGATTTGATGTTCTCAATAAAGGCTAAGGTAAGACCGCTGACTTAGGGCAAGAGTGGTGTGTGGAAATAGGAGAAAGAAGGTATGAAATAAAATATCTCAAGTTGGGAAGGAAGTAGAGCACAACTGCTAGATGGTGGTAAGCCTTATTTCAATCCTGCCAGCTAGTCTGGTTGTATGATCTTCTCCAGAGATGTTCAGACAGTAGGATGCAGACTCAGGGAGGACAGAGAGTTGAAGTCAAATAGGGTTGGAGATTATTCAGGAGAGAGAAATGGGCAAAAGAGCCAAGAGTCTTGTTAAGTGTATGGTTCTCATGGATCATGGAACCTAAGCTAGATAAAGAAGGAAGAAGCAACAAGTGGGGGCTGAAAAATAATGAAAAGTGGCAAAGTGAGAAAGTGGTAAGGTTGAAGATAACCAAGAGGGTAGACTAAAAGGGACAAGAGCATAACAGACAGTGCTAAGAGGGGAAAACTTTATCTGAAATTTAGCATGTGGCATAGTTTTTCATGATAAGAAAGCCTAGAATGTGGTCAGGGGAGAAGAAATTGAAAAAGAAAATATTGCTCAAAATGGGCAGTTTAAGGAAATGAAAAATGTTAGGCACATTTAAGATCAGCTGGTCAGGAGAGAATATATAGAGAAGATAGTCCTCAAGAATAGCTCATTTGCATTGATGGTAAAGTCATCCAAAAGGGAGGAAAGGCAAAAGGATGAAAAGAAAAACTGTGAGCCAAGAGAAGCTAAGTCATCAATGAACAGGGGACAGAGGGTAACTAGGTGATCAGAGCATGACAGAGATCAGCAAAAGAGCCAATGTTACAGCTAATGGGCATGACTTTCAAAAGAGTATGTTTTTGTAAGGCAAAATGGGAGAAATGGTAATGAAGAATCAATGGGGATCCAAAGGAAACTGCTCTATGAGGCCTTGAGGAATGTGATGAAATTTAAAAAGGTATTTGAATCTGCAAAGAAACGATGTAATTCAGAGATTACTATTTCCCTTCTTACGTAAGAAATACAGGAAGAAACTAAATTTATGACTTGTCTGTGATGAGGCTAAGAATGAAGAAGATAGTCTATTACTATTGAGTATAGTGCTTAGATGGCAAGGAGACATGAAAGACCAGTGACCAGATAGCTACGGATATGCATTCTAGTCTCAACTCTGCCACCTACTACTTTCATGAGACACTTAATTCTGAATCTGTTTATTCATCTGTAAAGTGAGGATGATAATCTTTCCCATCTATCTAATCATGTTTATCTCCCAGAGCTATATGCAAGTATTTTGAGATATTTTCTGAGTTAAATAACCCTAACATAAAATTAACATGAAATTAAAGCATATTTTTCTAATTTCCTCCTTGTCTTCTTTTACCATTTTTCTCTCCACATCAACTACCCATTCTATCTTTAGATCCTAAATTTATGCAGGAAATGGACTGGCGATAACCATTTTAGGCATTTCCATATTTTCAGAGCTAAATATTTACTGAAAACAAATTTGACAACTGTAAGTATAAAGTTAATTTTCTGCTCCACTAATTTCTGAATAAAACCATCTAGATTCTATTCAGAATTATTTTCATTTCTTATTAAGTAACTTACCATCATGAAGCCACTAAAATACAGCAAAAGGTGTATCCAGGGAGGCACAAGATATTTGCCAATTATGTTTTCAACTGATCCCATTTAATGTTTTCATCAACACTGTGAAGTATATATTCTCTCTGTGATTACCAGAACACATGGTTCCTGATGGTATTTGGAAAAAATAGGGCAGATGCCCAGAGTGAGTTTTGCCTGTCACTTCACCAGTTACAAGAAAACTTAGTGACTTCTATGAATACATCACAGCTACTATGGAAATCATCTTTTGGAAGGTACAGTTTAAGGTCTTTATTCATTTCCTTGCCCCCAATAAGCAATGATGTTGTAGGAGTTGTGCATTCTCTGAATGTTTGCAGAACTGACAAAAAACACCTTAGGATCATGAAGGCCAAAACTTGCTACCTTTCCACTACTTCTTTGACTTGGATAGGTTTTTTTTTTCCCTGGGTGGTATTTCAGTGGTGTGGTTAGCTTATGATCTCACTGGTGATTCACATATTGTCCTGGACATGATTATTGAAATGCAGGGAATCCCATTTGTTCGCATGTAAATCCTGAAGTGTGCTTACTTTAAGAATGGAATTATCCTGTCTTGTATTTTTGGTATCATAGCCTTCCAGTAAACAGCGACGAGTGGTATTTCCTGATCCAGCAAACTCTGCCAGGTTTAGATCTGCAAAGCCCAGCTATGAAAAGAAGGAAAATTATATTAATAGAATATCTAGAGGCTTCTATCATATTCTCCCTAAACTAAACATTTAATTCATTCCATAGACAAGTTTTCTCAAATTTCATTCTTTGTAGTTTTTGTCATCTTAAGAATAACTACTGTTTTATTTGCTTTATAAGTGTGCTTACATTAGTTTGCTTTGTTTTTTGGTACCAGGGATCGAACTCAGGTCCTTGCACTAGTGCAGCAGGTGGTGAAACTACTGAGCTAAATCCCCGGCCCTGGTTTGCTTTTTATTTATTTATTTTTATTTTTTATTTTTGGTACCAGGGATTGAATTCCGGTCCTTCCGCTTGCAAGGCAGGCGGCAGAACCACTGAGCTAAATCCCCAGCCCATGGTTTGCTTTTTAAATGAAAACTTATTACCTATTTTATTCTTACCTCAAGCATAGGATCTTTGATATCACAGATCTGATGTGTGACATATATTTTTCCATGTATATTAAAAGTAAAACATCACTATTACAGTAAAACTAATGTGTATTACACAACTAAAATCATTGCATGTAGCAGTGGCACTTACACCACACTGGGAAACACCAGCAAACCAATCATGATCATCTGCATATCCAAAGAGAAAAATGATCAGACTCTATTTTGGTTCTCACTCTATGCTGTTAACCCTTAGTAACTGCAGACAGTTGCTCCAAGTTATTCACTTCTCTTAAGTGATTCACACACTTTCTTTAGTACAAACCCCTTTTCTTCTCTCAGCTTCCAAAACACTCTCCTTGCTGATCATCCTTGAGCTGAATCTCTCTTTATGGAAGGAACTTTCTTTCTCCCTTTCTTACAGGTATGTTCCACAGCTAACCTCTCTGGTGCTATCCAGAAGTTCAGTTTAAACCTGTCCTTCATTACTACTCAGGTTTGGTCCAATTTTCTGCACTTACTAAAAGTTGTTCTATGGTTTTTCCTCTGATGCTGCTCAACCCTACTTCTTACTTCAAGTGGTGCATGAAGTAAACCTTATTATATCATTATATTTTTAAAATAAATTAAATTTATTCTTCAGGACTAAGTTAAGTATGTGTGGAGTCTCTTATTAATAAAAAAATGAATTTACAATTAATTAAGCACATCTGTGTGAACTAAAAAAAGCACTATTCAAACACTGCTGAGATTGTTTGTTTTAAGGTTTTAAAACAGAGTGGCACAGAGTGGCATTCAGGATGAAGATTCTAATTGTAGAATGCAGCATTATTTTAGTAGCTTTTAACTAGTACACAAAGAAAAGGATAACCTAGAGAACAGATGAAGCCTCAAACACAGTAAGTCAGGCATCCATCAGGTAACATCTAATTTTCACATTGTTACTGTGGCCTTACTGCCTTTTAGGGGCCCAACATATCAGCAGAAAAAGCCTGGATATGTCCAGGGCAAAACAACTTTCATTTGAGCATGTGAAGACTCCTGTAGCTTACTGGATCATACATGATTAACACACTCTATCTCATCTATTCCGCCTTTGTCTTTGAACCTTCAATACCTCTTTCTTGTCCTCTCTCTCTGCTGATGACCTTGCTTCCTATTTCTGACAGAAAGTAAGAGCAATGAAAAGAGCACTTAACTTCCAAGCTCTTTCTGCCACTTCCACTCACCTACCTGTACCTGCACCAAACGTTTGCCTTTCCACTCAGAGCACTACGGACAAACTGGCTGTGCTCCTGAGGCCAACCACTCTCCTCTTGCCTACTCAAGTTCTTTACCTCAGCAGTTCTTTCTGCTCTTTGCCGTTCTAAAATTTCCCTTCTCTCTTGGATTGTTCTCATTAGCACGTAAATACGCTAGATTTTCTCCTTTCTTAAAGAACCAAACCAAACCAAATCTCACCCATCTCTCACTAGGCTGTTGAATCATTTTTCTGTTCCCCAGCCCCAGCCAAAACTCCTTGAAAGTATTGTCTAAGCTGTCCCTAACCTGCAGTCCCTGACCACTTGTTCAACTTCATTTCCCCCTTCTCTTCCTCTTAGCCACAATGTCCTATTCCTTAAAGGTGGCAAGGTCACCCCAAGGCCTTTCACTCTCTTGTTCTTTTGCTGAGAAACTCTCCTTCAGTTGGTATTGTAGCTCTGTCTTTCACTCCATTCATGTCAGTGTTTGATGTCACTGCACTAAAAGATCCTTTCCTGGCTATCCTAAAATACGACCCTCTTCCCTCACTTGCCCTGTAGTTATCACCCTTTATCCTTTACCTGCTCTGATATTCTCCTTAGTAGTTATTATTATATCATGCCCATAGATATTTTACATTTTTTTGCTTGTCTGTCCCTTATCCTTCTACTTCCCATTAGAATGTAAGCTCCATAAAGGCTGGGATTTTTGTCAGTTTTGTTCACTGTTGTGTCTAGTACTTAGAATGACACCAGGAAAAATGGCACGATAGGTACTTAATATGTATTTATTGAATAAAATATAGCTGATTGTCTTACCATTCACTGATGTAATACTAATATTGTCACTAAGTTAAAAGATCTTATTAGTCTCTTATGAACTGTGTTTGTGTTTCCACAAAATTCATATATTGAAACCCTAACTCCCAAAAGGATGGTATTACGGATGTGTGATGTAACCTTTGGGAGGTAATTAGGTCACAAAGATGGAGACCTCAAGCATAGGTGTTGTTTTTTTTCTTTTTTCCTTTTCTTCTTTTGCGCTGAGGAAAACCCAGGGCCTTGCAAGTGCTAAGCACATGCTTTGTCACTGAGTTCTGTGCCCAGCCCTTTACAAAGACAGGAGAGAGCTTGCTTCCCTCTTTGATCTCTGCCATGTGAGGACATAATGAGCAGCCAGCCGTCTGTGCACAAGCAGGGCGCTCTCATCAGATTCTGGATTCTGCCAGCCCCTTGATCTTGGACTTTCCAGCCTCCAGAGATGTGAGAAATGAATTTCTGTTGTTTATGGTAATTCATTAGAGCAGCCCAAACTGAGAGTCTCCATTAAGAAAACATATTAAAAGGAGAATAGGTCAATGTGATGCTAGGCTAAAGGTTACTTATGAGTGAGGTCAATATTTAGTGAGCACCTTTTATGGGCCAGGCTGTTTCAAACACAGAAAAACAGTGAACAAGAGGACAAATACTCTGCCTTCAAAGAGCTTACATTACAGTGAGATATCAGTGCATGTTTTCTTAGGTTTCACCAAGATAACTGTCCCATGGAAAGGACATACATACACATACAGCCATACATGTGGTAGATATTAACTTATTAAAAAATAATTTTCAGCATTCACATTCCAGGTAATATTAGGTATTGGAAATGGAGCATTTTTTTTCTTCTAGTGCTGGGGATTGAACCCAGGGCCTTGTGCATCCTGGACAAGTGCCCTACCACTGAGTTATACCTCCAGCCCATAAGGAATCATTTTTACTCTCACAGTTACTAATACATAATAATAGAAAGAGAAATTCCTATAATACAATCTGATACGTACTGTGATAGAAAAAGACATAATTACGAGAGAGGAAAAGAGAAGTTCTCGTGGGCAGGGATGACTAAGCTGACTGTTCAATGATACATGAGTTGACAGGACAAGAGGAAGCAGAAATACATGTATGGTGGGGAAAACATTAAGTCACAAGGCAAAGAATCTAAAATAGCAGAGATAATCCAGGAAGTTTATGATAGCAGTATGCTTTATAAGGATGAGAGAGAGAATCCAGATGGCAGGTATGTAGAAGAGAGGAACTAGTGGAAATGATTTACAAACCAAAATGTGTCTTATATGCTAAGTCACAGAATTTTACATTTCCTTTATAAGTAATAAATAGCTGCTTAGGGACTAAAAGTGGGGGAATGACAGGATCTTATTTTAATTTTCTTTTATGTGAATGTGTTGACTGAAATTCAACAGATCTGGCGTTCAGGAGAGGCATTAGCCAAGAGCAAAGTCATTACACAGAGAATAGGATAATGGAAAGAGAAAAATATGGGTTCTTGATGATGTTTCCCAGTCAGTGGCTTAACTAAGTAGCTCAATAATCACATCTACTTGTTCTGTGAGGTTAAAAAAACCTCTAGTTGAGGAAAGTTTTCTGTTATTTGTAGCAAAGAAGATCCTAGGTGACATTGTAAACAACTAGATTTAGGGAGTTTGGTGGTTAAAACTAGTCCAGGTTCTTGCCTCAGATGACTGGAATGATGCATATACCATTCACAGAGAACATAAATAAAAGAGAAATATGGGGCCGGGAATTTAGCTCAGTGGTGCCGCGCCTGTCTTGCAAGAGCGGTCTTGAGTTCAGTCCCCAGTACGAGAAAAAAAAAAAAAGAAAGAAAGAGAATATGTAGGGTAGTACTAATAATTACTCATTCTTTCTATTCAGCAAAAAGTTGAGCACATTCATTAGTAATTTCATATAGCCAATAAAAGTAACAAAGTGCAGTAGTAATGTATTGTTGGGCCTCTGTATTTGTGGTTCTGCATCTGTGAATTTAACCAATTGCGGATGGAAAAATATTAAAAAGCTGTGACTCCATCAAACATGTACAGACTTTTTCCTCATCATTACTGTCTAAATTATATAGCATATCAACCATATACATAATATTTCTATTATATTAAGTATCATGAGGAATCTAGAAATGATTTAAAGCATATGGGAGATGGTTGTATGTTATATGCAAATACTATGCCATTTTATATAAGGGGCTTGAGTTGAGCATCCTTGGATTTTGTTATCCTGAGGGGAGTGGAGGGTCTTGGAACAAGTCTATTTCAAATACCAATTGAAGAATGTATACTGAGCGCAAAGAGAACACAGAGAAAAGATCCTATTCCACCAAGGAGAGGTCGGCCTGGGAATACCTCTCAGGTGAGACTGAATTATCAGCAAGCTAGAACTTCAAGGAAACTAGAGATCATTCTCTAGTAAGGAAGCTAAAACTAAAGAGTAACACCCCATAATAAGAACTTAGAAAGATGACGCCTTTAATTTATTGTTAGATACAACCATTCAACCTCCAAGTTGCTTTACTTAAAGAGTCAAGCTCAAACAACAATTAGAAGAGTAAGTCATTTAATTTTAAGCCTATAGATAGGAAAGAGTTATGAGTTACTAAAGAGTTAAAGAAAATCTACTTACCTTTGCATAAGCTTTCCCACCTTTTAATTCCTGCCAAAGATAGAATAACACTATAAGGTTATCATATAATTAAGGATTTAAAATGAAGCATATGCCAAGTAATTTCTTAGTGTCAATGGACAGTAAAAATGTGATGATGTTAAATACAATTTCGTGGACTCCTCCTAGCCCCGCAAACGACCGCTGCATTCTCCTCTCTATTCAACCCACTCCAATTGGGCTTTTGTCCTCATTTCTCCTCTGTAGTAGTTCTTAGAATTTTCAATGATCTTCATTTTGTTAAGGCCAAAGGCTCTGGCTTCATCATATTTAGTCCCTGAGCAGTATTTGACAGGCTTGGGCATTCCACCTCTTGCATTATTTTTCTCTCTAAACTGTATTGCAAATGGAGAAGACAGTCATGGAATTGAGCGGTGTGTCTATAAGCCAAAGATTGCCTAAAGTAAAGACTGCCAGAAAGTAAAGTGCTTGAAGACAGGACAGAATCTCATTCTGAAACCACAGAACCTAGGAGAGGGGCATGAAATAATTTCTTCCCTGGACGTGCCAGAGGGTGGCCCTGGTGACAATTTGATTCTGGATTTCTAGATTCCAGAACAGAGACGGTCTGCATCTGTTGTTTTAAATCACCCAGTTTGTGGTATTTTGACATAGGGTCCTGGGAACTAATACAAAGCCTTTTTACTTTTAGGTCTTACTCCTGTAAATTGGTCTTTCCCTATATCTTTGTGCGTGTGCGTGTTTTCAGGGTATGGAACTCAGGGCCTGGTGAGTGCAAGTGTTCTACCACTGGGCTATTCCCTAGCCTTTCCCTACATCTTTACATGGCTGTCTCCCTTCCAATGTTACCTTTCAGTTAAGCTTTTACTGACTTTCCCCAATTTTCTAAACTGATGTCTCTTCTCCAAGTTACTCTTTATTACCCTCATGGTACTTTATGCTTAACATTATCATTATCTAAAACAATCTTATTTGGTTATGTGCTTACTTTCTGGCTTTATTATCACTTCTTGCCCAACTCCAACCAGAAAGTAAAGTCCTCGAGGATAGGATCTCACTCTGCCTCACCTCTGTCCTCAAGTACCTAGAACATATGTAGCACAATGTAGACACTCACATATTTGTTGACTGGTGACTGATTGCTTTGCTGTGCCTAGGCATCAGAGTATATTATCAAACTTTTGGTTTTTGTCAACTTTATAGGTAAAAAGTTGTATCTTATTTGTAATTATAATTTGTGTGAGGTTGAGTATATTTCGTTTAAAAGTTGTTTATACTTTGTTTTTTGTGAAATGTACACTCTGTTCTTCACCTATTTTTCTAAATAATTGTTGATCATTATTTAGAGGTGCTCTTTCTAAATTAAGGAAATTAGTCGTTTGACATGATTTGCAAATATTTTCTTCTAATTTATGACTTATGGTATTTTTTTTGCAATGTACAACATGTTTATATAGTTGTTCACTAATCTTTTACATAATACCTAGGAAGGATTATGTAGAATGAACTCAATAAATATCTCTGTCTAGCCACACACAGCAGAAGGTGCTAGTGGTTCACTACATCCATTCTCCCCTTCTTTAACTTCAGAACCTGTTGGCCGGCTATGGATAAGGTTCATAGCCTTTCTTTCAGTTTGGTGTGGCCACATGACTACATTCTAACCTGTGGGATATGTTCAAAGGATATCTGAGCACTTCGAGTCATGCCTTCAAAAAGGATGTGTTTGTTCTTATGTCACTGGTTTGGGAGATAAGTCTGGAGCAGCTCCCTTGGATCAAAAGATGGACGCCGTATGGATGTCCAAAACAGGATGGCTGTTACCCTAGAGCAGTGGTGTGCTGCAGTGGGCTGTCTGTCTAAAAGGTTTGCCGTCACTGTCCTAGAAAGATATAATTTCTATCTTCTTTAAGCCATTGCTTATTTGAGTCTCTGTGCAGCAGCTTATCATATATGTCCTAACACACTAAACCTTCATAATCTGAGGAACTGGTGAAGAGTATTTCAGATGAATAAATCTCACCTTAAAGAGCATTATTAGTTCTTGTTTGTTATTATTTTATAGACTTTGAGTCTCTTTAATTCAGTCATGCTTTACTCTAAACTTGTTTTATATTTATTTTTCTCAAAATTCAAAGACTTTCAAAATCATGATTAGAATGCCATTTATTTATCTCTTTTAAATTTGGAAAATGTTTATTTTCCTTCTTTTAAAAAAATTATTAGTACATGTTTGTACTACGTAATGTTTACATTCATTTTAGGGAGTAGGTACAGGTACTTAACATACTTGATCCTTTTTATTATCCTTATCCTCCCCTCCCTACTTCTCTAGGTCTCTCCCCCACCCAGTTCATGTTTACCATACATTCATGCGGATAGCTGGTACATGTACGTGATATATCTTAATTCTGTTTATGTCCCCCCCCACACTCTCTACCCCCTTCCCATTTGCAAAAGATCTTGCTCCCTACCTCCTGCTATCTATCTTTTATTTTGCTCTTTATTTGTATCTTTGGTTTCTCATAGAAGAGAAACTATATTGACATTTAATCTTATGTGTCAGATTTATTTCATTTAATATTGTGGTCTCAGGGTACATCCATTTTCCTACAAATGACACAAATTTATCCTTCCCTTATAGCAGAATAGAGCAGTATTCCATTGAGCATAAATCCTGCATTTTCTTTATCCATTCATCTGTTGATGGATCTATGGGCTGCTTCCAAGATTCAGCTATCAAGAGTTGTGTTGCTATCAACATGTATCACTATAATCTGATATCTTTAACTCTTTCAAGAAGATACCTAGAAGGGGAAATGGCTAGGTGAAATGGAATTCAATTTTAGTTTTTTGAGGAACCTCCATATTGCTATCCATAGTATTAACAATAATTTACATTCCCACCAACAACATAAAGGGTTCCTTTTTCCCCCTGCAGCTTTGTCAGCGTTTATTTATTTACTTTTGGTATGGGGGATCAAACTGTGGACCTCATGCTTGTGAGGCAGGTGGCGGAACCACTGAGCTAAATCCTCGGCCCTGTCAGCATTTATTTTTGATTTCTTTTTGGTACTGGGGATCGAACTCAGGACCTTGTGCTTGCGAGGCAGGCGGCAGAACCACTGAGCTAAATCCCTGGCCCTTATTTTTGATTTCTTGATGATAGCTGTTCTTTCTGAAGTAAGAGGAATCTCTGTGTTGTTTAAATTTGCATTTCTCTAATAGCCAGAAATGTTGAACTCAGCAATGTATTTATTGCTCATTTCTACTTTTTTTCTGAGAGGTGTCTATTCATTTCAGTTGCCCAATTTTTTATTTAGTGTTTTATTTTGGGGGGCCTCTTTTTGAATTCTTTATATATTTTAGATATTCATCCTCTTTCCAAGCTACAGCTGGCAAATTTTTTTCCTTCTATTCTATAGGTTGTCCCTTTATTCTACTGGTTGTTTCCTTTACTGTGAAGAAGTTTTTAATTTCATAGAATTCCATTCGTTGCTTCTTGATGTTATTTCTTGTGTCACTGGCGTTCTGTTCAGAAAGTCTTTGTTTATGCCTATGTTTTCAAGAGTTTCATCTATTTTACCTTCTATAGATTACCTCTGTTTGAATATTTAGATCTTTGATCCATTTTGATTTTAGTTTAGTATATGATGAGAGATATGGGTCTAGATTCAGTCTTTTGCATGTGTACAGCCAGTTTTGCTAGCACCATTTGCTAAAAAGGCTATCTTTCCTCTGGTATGTTTTTGGCCTCCTTGTCAAAGATCAGATAGCTGAACGTGCCTGAGTTTGTTGCGGCATCCTTTATTCTGTTCCCTTGATCCACATGTCTATTTTTGTGGCAGTATTATGCTATTTTTTTAATCACTATAACTCTGCAATATAACTTAAAATCCAGGATTGTGATAGCTTCTGCTTCGCTCTTGTTGCCCAGAACTGCTTTTGCTATTCTGGATCTGTTCTGGTTCCATATGAATTTTAGGACTGTTTTCTCTAGTGCTGTGAAGAATGCTGTTGGTACTTTGATTGGGATTGCATTAAATCTATATATCAGTTTAGGAAGTATGGCCATTTTCACTATATTGGGTCTGCCTATCCAGGAACAGGGGATGTCTTTCCATTTTCTGATGTTCCCTTTAATCTCTTTTTTCATAGTAGTGTAGTTTTCATTATAGATGTCTTTTACTTCTTGTTTGGTTGATTCCTTAGGTTGATTCCTAAGTACTTAATTTTTCTTGAAGCTATTGTGAATGGTATTGTTTTCCTAATTTCCTCCCTGGTGGGTTCATTATTGGTATATTGGAAGTGTGCTGATTTTTGACTTGGTATTCTGCTGCCTTGCTGAATTTGTTTATTAGTTCTAAGAATCTTTTGGGTCTTCCATGTAAAGCATCATGTCATCTGCGAATAGTGATAATTTGGCTTCTTTCTTTTCTATACATATCTCTTTTATTTGTCTCTTGCCTGATTGCTCTGGCTAATGTTTCAAGTACTATATTGAACAGGAGTGATGATAGTGGACATCCTTATCTTTTCTGTATTTGTCGTATTTTAACTGAGTAGATTAACCAATATAAAATAATATAAAATATGGTCACACACATTGTAGTGTTACCAGTTCATTCAAAACTTGCGTGTATGTGTGTGTGTGTAAATGAAACCAAGTAAAATTGTGACTTTTGTAGATTATTGGTAGTATGTCTCAACCTAATATGTGAAAAGGAAACGCATAAAAAATAAAAGATAGACTTGCAATCAGAAAGGTTTATTTGAGTCCCTCCTTTTCCATTTATTAACAATGTAAATTTCAAAGTATCTTTACTCCTCTGAACCTTAGTTTTCCTAAAGATAGAGAAAATAACACCTACTTTCAGGGTTGTTATTAGAATATTGTTAAATGCCTATCATAGAATATTTAAGAAATGGCACAACATACATAGTCCCAAATGCAAATATGGTTAATACTTATATGCATAGTGATAGTGAGATAAAGGTTCCTGAATGTTTTAATTTGTAACTTCAGATTCTTCATCATAGTTGCCATGGGAATTTAAATTACTGCTGTACATGAGAAGTGAAATTACATACAGTATAACAGTTCTAATATTGCAGCAGAGCTAAATAAAGTGAGTTAGTGACTATGGAACTAATTATAGTTTCTGAAAGAAGAAAAATAATAGGCTATTTTTATACCTTCCTTACAGACACTCTGTAGATACAAGGGTCTAGAATGCCTGTAGCGGCACTTGCACTCATTTTGCACATAAATGAGAACTTCTTTCTCCAGTGAACGCAGTTTGCTTGCACCACTTCCCTGAGTGGAAATTAAAAAGAAAAGCCAGTTATTATTGATGGCACGTTAAAAGCAGATAGACAGACAGACAGATACACAGATACAGATACAGATACAGATACACACACACACACACACGCTCTTTGACTTAAGTCTACAATGCAAATTGATATACTAAGTCAGTATTAATAATGAATGGAACAGAAAGACAATGATTTTCTAACAACAATCTGAAAATCTCTGGAAGGTTTCAATGATAAGAAACTGAGAAAAAAGTAAATTCACTTATTAATTCAATCGGTGGAAAGTGAGGCTTCACTCAATTGAATGAATGAATGAATTCATTCAATACAAAACACACACTTTTTGGTACCGGGGATCGAACTCAGGTCCTTGCTCTTGCGCAGTAGGCGGACAAAACGCACACTTGAATTTATGTGTGTTGGGTATATGCTAGATGTTTAAAACACAATGATGAGAACAGAGTTCCTAACCTCATAGGTCTTACTTTTATGGTTAGTGCAAGGGACAGAAATACACACCAATATTTTAAAGAACAAAGAAATATTTACTCTAAGATGAGCTACCATCCTAGCTTTACTTCAGTTCTTTTAGCATCAGGATCTACCATTTAGTGAGAGCTTACCATACATTACTTAACTGTACCACAATCCTGAGTAGCTGGTATATCCCTCACTTTATAGACAGAGAAAGGAAGCACAGGAGGGAAGTAACTCATTTAGGGAGCAAGGGCAAAACCAGCAGCCAAACCATGCTCGTTAACTCTAAAACCCCTTAACCACAAACCAAAGTCTGTATTTCTTTTTTCTTTCTTTCTTTCTTTGGTACTGGGGATCGAACTCGGGACCTTGTGCTTGCGAGGCAGGTGCCAGAACCACTGAGCTAAATCCCTGGCCCTAAAGTCTGTATTTCTTTATTCCATTAAGTTTATTGGTATGTTTTAGGTACACATAATGATCACATTCATCATTGGGAATTTGTACCTGTACATGATACATCTAGGTTCTTGTTTTTTCCCCCATTCCCCTTCCTTCCCTTCCACCCCTCCACCCCTCTCTATTTATAAAAACTTGGTTTCCGTTTTTTCCTTCTCTTCAAAAATCTGTACTTTTTTAAAACAGCTTCATTTTTTCAAGTTTCCTAGCTTTTGTACACGCTGTTCTCTATACTATTCTGTGCAGGTCCCAGAGGCTTCGCCTTAGAAAGCAAAGATAATTATTCTTTTAACATAGGAAGAAAAGAAAGATAATGGGTGAATATAAAGAGAGAGCTTTCTCTTTATTTATCAATTCAATCAAGACAGGTGAGACAGCACAGGTTGAATGGCTTTAATTTTCTTTCTAAAGTAATAAGTTGAGATGGTTGAGTGATCGTGTCAATTTGAGAAGTTTGATTAAGAGAAGCTTAGCTAAATTGGCTCAGCAATTCCACCCTGTTGGGCTTGGGAGATCCACCCTAGGGTGGTCCCTCACCTGGATGTTATAAAGGGGAAACAAGAGGCTGCTTCTGTTCCTTTGGAGGAGCTCCCCTCTTCACCCGGAGTTCATCTTCTGCCTAGCAGTGCATTCTGGCTTCCAGCATGGATCGTTTAGCTTTCCTTCCCATGTAGACTCCTCAGCCTTCCATCACAGACCCATCAGCCTCCTGATACGGACTCACACAGGACAGTGCAGTGAGCTCCATACATTTGACTAAATCCTTTGGTCTCCAGTGTGCAGGCAGATCCTTGGGATTCTTCCTCATCTGACTCTATGGGTGGCCATTGTAAGCCAATCTTATAGATTCTTACATATTTACATATCTTGTGTTATATGTTTCTCTAGTAAATATTGACTGATACATAAGTATAGTCACTTCTATGGAGCAACAGGGACTGTTGGGTGAGTTGAAAATTTAGATAAAAGTTAGGAGAAACCCAGGTGGTGAGTGTGATAGGCAATCAACTCGCACCTGCCTTGGTGAATAAAATGAGTTTGTATTAGGACCAATCAGTTTGGTTTTTATGGATAAGTAAATTAACAAAACACAACAAATAATGACAAAATAATAAGCAATAAAAAATAAACCAGAATTGTTTACTGTTGCTTCCTTTCCAACATCTCTTGGACTCAACACTTGCTGAAGACATTGGCCATGGTCTCTAGAGCTTCCCCCAAATTTGTGCAAATATACTGGAATCCTGGACCCTTCAGAACATGCTGAACCTCATTGCATGTGATTATTCCTGTCACCAAGAACCCTGATATATGATCAAGTATAAAGAAACAACTTTTTTTTTTAGTACTGGGGATCAAACTCGGGACCTTGTGTTTGTGAGGCAGGTGGTGGAACCACTGAGCTAAATCCCTGGCCCAAGAAACAACATTTAAAAAGCCTGTTATTTTACTTTTCTTATAAAATTACATACAAAAGATGGCATGTTGAGGACATGTATTAGTCTCTGAACTCCTCCCAAACCTACTAAGGTAAAAAAGAAAGAAGTCAAAGCATTAGCTCAGAAGGACAAATTGAGAGCCAGGGAGGGGACAAAAATAAGTGACTAGTGACGAGCAAGTGATAGGTATTTAGCAGGTCGAAGAAATCTGAACCTTACACTGGTAATGCTGAAAGCCAAGAGCAGAATCTTAAATTAGTCCTGAAATAGAACGAAGGAAGGACAAAAGGCAGGAGGATTGACTGAAAACTAGAAACAATCAGACCTTGACTCTTGTAGAAGAAGGAGACTTATTTTCCCAGTGGTAAAACAGAGGAATCCCTGGACTACCTGACTCCAGGCCAAATATGAGAAAAGGCATGATGGCAAGAGGAATGAAAGATGACTTACTTGATGTTGAGATTTCCAGCCTTCTTTTCCTAATCTTCCTTCTTGCAATGCTGGAATTAGGCATATATTCATCAAGAAGGTGAAGGAAAAATATTTTCTGGGGAATCCAACCAGTCTCAAAGAAAAGGTCTAATGAGATGGATGTTAAGGGTTCCTAATAAAATGCTGCAGCCAGCACAACCTATAGTAAAAGAGGACAAGCACCTCCACAAGCACAATGTTTCTAATCAACTTTTAGTGTCTCAGGTAAATATGAGTAGCCACATGAGGGTCTTTTAATAGCAAAGCAGAGACCAAAATGAATAGAAAAAAAGAACTTGAACAAAACAGAGCCTATGCTGGAAGAAGAAGAAAATTCTGAGATAAAAAAGAAAGTGCATCTATCATTCAGGAATAGGATGCTATATAAAAAAAGAACATACAGGGAACTAAAACGTACTCGTGGAAATCAAAATGACTAGGCTTGGTATTCTGTTTGTCATATAACCACTCTACCCTGCTTTGTAACCCAAGAGGCTGGCCTTTATAGACATCAACCAGGCTACCTTGCCCTATACCTGTGTGTGCTAAAGGGACAATACTGGAAAGATGGTGGGCAGGAAGAATGAGAAGTCCATTCTTTATTAGGCCATACAGGAAATGTGGATAGGTGGCTGGGGACTGAAGTTTTCCACAATGTGCTTTATAGCACTTTAAACTATGTGCATTTATAAATTTGATAAAATAAAAACTAAATTAACCAACTCAGAAACATTGTCAAGTACTGAATAATCTGAAAATGGGAAAAGTATGTAACACTGTAAACATTTTTTCTAATTGCCTAAAGACCCTTTTTTGTTACCTAATATGTAAAAATCAAATAGTACCTGTGTTAGCCAGTTTTGTATTCCTATAGTAAATTGCCTGAGATAAATAAATGTATAAAGAGAAAAGGTTTATTTTGGCTCACAGTTTTAGAGGTTTCATCTATGACCAATTTGTTCCATTGCTTGGGCCTGTAGCAAGGTGGCACTTCATGGTGGAATCATAGCAGAACAAAATGCTAACCTCATGGCCAAGAAGCAAAGGAGAGGACAAGGAAAGAGCCAGGGCCCACAATCCCCTTCAGGACCCAGCCCCAGTGACCTAAAAATCGCCCCTTCTTAAAGGTTCCACTACCTCCTAACAGTGCCATGCTGAGGCCCAAGCCTTTACAACATGGACCTTTGGATCCAAATTATAGTAGTTCCTTAAAGTGTTACTAAACCAATTATTCTAGTCATTATTTCATAAGTAAAAAAACAAGTGAACAAACAAAAACCCCATTAATACAGCAAAGCCCTAAAGCCTTGCTTTATGTTTTTTCTTTTCATTTGTTTGTGATATATCAGCAATTTCTCAACCATACTAATTATAGGATTACATTTTAGGGTTTTTTTTGGTACCAGGGATCGAACTCGGGTTGTTGTGCTTGTGCAGCAGGCGGCAAAACCACTGAGCTAAATCCCCGGCCCTACATTTTAGGTTTTTATCTAGTTTAAAACAACTGTGAAATGTAGCAGCTTTTACACCAAACAGTCTATACTGTCATTTGAACAAAAGGGCAATTTTGGCCTGAGTTAACAAAAAATCAAAGCAATCAAGTGAACTCTATATGTAAGTGTTTGTTTAAAAGTAAACAAGCAAGAAAGAAGTATTTGCAGAATATTTAGCTAGTTTAGCTACAAAGTAGAGGAAGCCAACATTAAGTTTGGTAGGGCTGACAAGCAATGAGGTTAAGAAACTTCAGCACAACATTATAAATATGTACAGATAACTGAAATTACAGTGTAGAATAGAGACAAAGAACAATGAACATGAAACATGAAATAAAATCTTAACAGCGAAAATACACTGTATATACCCTTATGCCATCTACTTACTACTATTCTCTTTGCCTTTAGATCCAAGTTCCTTAAAAGAAGAATACTAATAATGATGATGACAACATTTATTGGGTGTTTAGCTCACTTTTACAAATAAAGGAACTAAGATCCATAGAAATTAAGTGACTTGTCAGCTAAAATGGGTTAGAACTGAATTTGAAGAACTTTCCATAGCATGGTTGTACAATCTTTTGGGTTTTAGCTTGCTTGGGGCAGTACTGAATGAAGGGTAATTGTCTTTGGCCACATATAAAACAAAAAATATAATGTAT